ATATATATATACAATGTATATAGTTATTATATATATACGTGTGTAATTTAATTATAAGTGTATTTTTATATTAATATAAGTACATATTAATATAAAAATACACTTAGTATGGCATATATATATATGATATATAGACATATATTATATTTGATATAATATATGTCTATATATCATATATGTATACACATATATAATTACATTATTTTTTTAATTAACACTAACTTTATTTTTATTTTCTGATTTTACAGCAGGGAGACTGCCTGTCAGCACAGACAGTCCCCCTGCAGGCAGACACATGGACACCTATTGTGACCATGTGATCGCTCTGTTGAGCGATCACATGGCCACAGGGGTCCTAAATCAGTGTGGGGAGACTGTCTGGGCTGCAGGCAGTCTCCCCACAACCGGAGCCACGCTGATCGCCGCCGGGGGAACGACGGCGATCAGGTAAGTAACAGAGACCGTTAGGACGGTTCAGGACCGTCATCGGTCCTCAAGGCAAAAATGCCGATGACGGTCCTGAACCGTCCTCGGTCGCTAAGGGGTTAATTCCCAGTCCGGCCCTGGTAAGATCCTACTCACAGACCTCAAGCTCCTGAAGGAATAACAAGCAGCTACTGACCCTGAAGAAACACAAGCTGGAAACAGAAAGGGGCAACCCTTAAATACGGGCTGTACTTCAACAATCTCAAGTTCTGCTTACCCAAGAACATATACTCAGCAGTTATGGTGTCTGGGAGTATTTTACATACTCTCCCTTTTCCTGCCAAAATCATCTCTAAGACCATCCGATTCTGGAAAGTCACCTGGGAGGTAGCTTGTAACCGCCCTATCCCACCATATATCCCATAACAAGTATAGTTCCCTGGATATATAGTAACTGTGACTCTGTACATGACGTATTTCTGCTTTAAAAGGGGCTCCCACTCCTTGGAATAAACCTTTCCTCAGGTTTTTCACTAATCAGAAACTTTGTCTCTGGTGTGAATTACTTCTAAGAAAGCATGCGCACAATCAATTTGGAAAGGAGTAGATAGACAAATAATCAAACAGGTTGTTTGATCCAAAACAGTATCTTCAGAAGGATATTGATACCTTAGAGAGAGTTCAGAGAAGGGCTACTAAACTGGTTCATGGATTGCAGGATAAAACTTACCAGGAAAGGTTAAAGGATCTTAACATGTATAGCTTGGAGGAAAGACTAGACAGGGGGGATATGATAGAAACATTTAAATACATAAAGGGAATCAACACAGTAAAGGAGGAGACTATATTTAAAAGAAGAAAAACTACCACAACAAGAGGACATAGTCTTAAATTAGAGGGACAAAGGTTTTAAAAATAATATCAGGAAGTATTACTTTACTGAGAGGGTAGTGGATGCATGGAATAGCCTTCCAGCTGAAGTGGTAGAGGTTAACACAGTAAAGGAGTTTAAGCATGCATGGGATAGGCATAAGGCTATCCTAGCTATAAGATAAGGCCAGGGACTAATGATAGTATTTAGAAAATTGGGCAGACTAGATGGGCCGAATGGTTCTTATCTGCCATCACATTCTATGTTTCTATGTAAGTTTTATTGATGTGGAGCTCTAGATACGCTGTGGAGCTCTGTGATACTCTCATACTGTGGAGCTCTGTGATACTCTCATACTGTGGAGCCCTGTGATACCCTCATACTGTGGAGCTCTGTGATACTCTCATACTGTGGAGCTCTGTGATACCCTCATACTGTGGAGCTCTGTGATACTCTCATATTGTGGAGCTCTGTGATACCCTCATACTGTGGAGCCCTGTGATACCCTCATACTGTGGAGCTCTGTAATACTCTCATCCTGTGGAGCTCTGTGATACCCTCATACTGTGGAGCTCTGTGATACTCTCATATTGTGGAGCCCTGTGATACCCTCATACTGTGGAGCTCTGTGATACTCTCATACTGTGGAGCCCTGTGATACCCTCATACTGTGGAGCTCTGCGATACCCTCATAATGTGGAGCTCTGCGATACTCTCATATTGAGGAGCTCTGTAATACTCTCATACCGTGGAGCTCTGTGATACTCTCATACTGTGGAGCCCTGTGATACTCTCATACTGTGGAGCCCTGTGATACTCTCATACTGTGGATCTCTGTGATACTCTCATACTGTGGAGCTCTGCGATACTCTCATACTGTGGAGCTCTGCGATACTCTCATACCGTGGATCTCTGCGACACTCTCATATTGTGGAGCTCTGCGATACTCTCATACCGTGGAGCTCTGCGATACTCTCATACCGTGGAGCCCTGCGATACTCTCATACCGTGGAGCTCTGTGATACTCTCATATTGTGGAGCTCTGTGATACCCTCATACCGTGGAGCTCTGTGATACCCACATGCTGTGGATACCGTGGAGCTCTGCGATACCCTCATACCGTGGAGCTCTGCGATACTCTCATACCGTGGAGCCCTGCGATACTCTCATACCGTGGAGCTCTGTGATACCCTCATACCGTGGATCTCTGTGATACCCTCATACTGTGGAGCCCTGTGATACCCTCATACTGTGGAGCTCTGTGATACCCTCATACTGTGGAGCTCTGGGATACTCTCATACTGTGGAGCTCTGGGATACTCTCATACTGTGGAGCTCTGCGATGGAGCTCTGCGATACCCTCATACTGTGGAGCTCTGCGATACTCTCATACTGTGGAGCTCTGCGATGACCTCACACTGTGGAGCTCTGCGATACCCTCATACCGTGGAGCTCTGCGATACCCTCATACCGTGGAGCTCTGGGATACCCTCATACCGTGGAGCCCTGCGATACCCTCATACCGTGGAGCTCTGCGATACCCTCATACCGTGGAGCCCTGCGATACCCTCATACTGTGGAGCTCTGCGATACCCTCATACTGTGGAGCTCTGCGATGACCTCATACTGTGGAGCTCTGCGATACCCTCATACTGTGGAGCTCTGCGATACCCTCATACTGTGGAGCTCTGCGATACCCTCATACTGTGGAGCTCTGCGATACTCTCATACTGTGGAGCTCTGCGATACCCTCATACTGTGGAGCTCTGTGATACTCTCATACTGTGGAGCCCTGTGATACCCTCATACTGTGGAGCTCTGTGATACTCTCATACTGTGGAGCTCTGTGATACTCTCATACTGTGGAGCTCTGTGATACTCTCATCTGTGATACCCACTCTCATATTGTGGAGCCCTGTGATACCCTCATACTGTGGAGCTCTGTGATACTCTCATACTGTGTGGGCTCTGTGATACTCTCTCATACTGTGGAGCTCTGCGATACCCTCATAATGTGGAGCTCTGCGATACTCTCATATTGAGGAGCTCTGTAATACTCTCATACCGTGGAGCTCTGTGATACTCTCATACTGTGGAGCCCTGTGATACTCTCATACTGTGGAGCCCTGTGATACTCTCATACTGTGGATCTCTGTGATACTCTCATACTGTGGAGCTCTGCGATACTCTCATACTGTGGAGCTCTGCGATACTCTCATACCGTGGATCTCTGCGACACTCTCATATTGTGGAGCTCTGCGATACTCTCATACCGTGGAGCTCTGCGATACTCTCATACCGTGGAGCCCTGCGATACTCTCATACCGTGGAGCTCTGTGATACTCTCATATTGTGGAGCTCTGTGATACCCTCATACCGTGGAGCTCTGTGATACCCACATGCTGTGGATACCGTGGAGCTCTGCGATACCCTCATACCGTGGAGCTCTGCGATACTCTCATACCGTGGAGCCCTGCGATACTCTCATACCGTGGAGCTCTGTGATACCCTCATACCGTGGATCTCTGTGATACCCTCATACTGTGGAGCCCTGTGATACCCTCATACTGTGGAGCTCTGTGATACCCTCATACTGTGGAGCTCTGGGATACTCTCATACTGTGGAGCTCTGGGATACTCTCATACTGTGGAGCTCTGCGATGGAGCTCTGCGATACCCTCATACTGTGGAGCTCTGCGATACTCTCATACTGTGGAGCTCTGCGATGACCTCACACTGTGGAGCTCTGCGATACCCTCATACCGTGGAGCTCTGCGATACCCTCATACCGTGGAGCTCTGGGATACCCTCATACCGTGGAGCCCTGCGATACCCTCATACCGTGGAGCTCTGCGATACCCTCATACCGTGGAGCCCTGCGATACCCTCATACTGTGGAGCTCTGCGATACCCTCATACTGTGGAGCTCTGCGATGACCTCATACTGTGGAGCTCTGCGATACCCTCATACTGTGGAGCTCTGCGATACCCTCATACTGTGGAGCTCTGCGATACCCTCATACTGTGGAGCTCTGCGATACTCTCATACTGTGGAGCTCTGCGATACCCTCATACTGTGGAGCTCTGCGATACCCTCATACCGTGGAGCTCTGTGATACTCTCATACCGTGGAGCTCTGTGATACCCTCATACCGTGGAGCTCTGTGATACCCTCATACCGTGGAGCTCTGTGATACTCTCATACTGTGGAGCTCTGTGATACTCTCATACCGTGGAGCTCTGTGATACTCTCATACCGTGGAGCTCTGTGATACTCTCATACCGTGGAGCTCTGTGATACCCTCATACCGTGGAGCTCTGTGATACTCTCATACTGTGGAGCTCTGTGATATTCTCATACCGTGGAGCCCTGCGATACTCTCATACTGTGGAGCTCTGTGATACCCTCATACTGTGGAGCTCTGTGATACTCTCATACTGTGGAGCTCTGTGATGTGCACTGTCAGTACACCTTGTACTGTTGAGCTGTTCAGTTGCCCTCCTGTCCGTGTGCTGTTTGTTAATAAAGCTGATTGACTGGCGCCTGCGCAGTGCTGTCAGTGTGTTTGCTGTTAATAAAGCTGACTGACTGGCGCCTGCGCAGTGCGGTCCGGGTGCTGTCAGTGTGTTTGTTGTTAATAAAGTTGACTGACTGGCGCCTGCGCAGTGCGGTCCGGGTGCTGTCAGTGTGTTTGTTGTTAATAAAGCTGATTGACTGGCGCCTGCGCAGTGCGGTATGATAGAGTGGTGCCGAGCTGTGACATGGAGTTCGCTGAGCTGATTAAGACCCCCCGGGTGGATAATGTGCTCCTGCACCGGCCCTTCCACCCGGCGGTGGGCGGCACTCTGTGTCTGACCGGCCACCACCTCATCCTCAGCTCCCGGCAGGACAACATGGAGGAACTATGGCTCTTACACTCCAACATAGACTGCATCGACAGGCGGTGAGTGAGCACTCACACACTCCAACATAGACTGCATCGACAGGAGGTGAGTGAGCACTCACACACTCCAACATAGACTGCATCGACAGGAGGTGAGTGAGCACTCACACACTCCAACATAGACTGCATCGACAGGAGGTGAGTGAGCACTCACACACTCCAACATAGACTGCATCGACAGGAGGTGAGTGAGCACTCACACTCACACACTCCAACATAGACTGCGTCGACAGGCGGTGAGTGAGCACTCACACACTCCAACATAGACTGCGTCGACAGGCGGTGAGTGAGCACTCACACACTCCAACATAGACTGCGTCGACAGGAGGTGAGTGAGCACTCACACACTCCAACATAGACTGCGTCGACAGGAGGTGAGTGAGCACTCACACACTCCAACATAGACTGCGTCGACAGGAGGTGAGTGAGCACTCACACACTCCAACATAGACTGCGTCGACAGGAGGTGAGTGAGCACTCACACACTCCAACATAGACTGCGTCGACAGGAGGTGAGTGAGCACTCACACACTCCAACATAGACTGCGTCGACAGGAGGTGAGTGAGCACTCACACACTCCAACATAGACTGCGTCGACAGGAGGTGAGTGAGCACTCACACACTCCAACATAGACTGCGTCGACAGGAGGTGAGTGAGCACTCACACACTCCAACATAGACTGCGTCGACAGGAGGTGAGTGAGCACTCACACTCCAACATACACTGCATTGACAGGACGTGAGTGAGCACTCACACACTCCAACATAGACTGCGTCGACAGGACGTGAGTGAGCACTCACACACTCCAACATAGACTGCATCGACAGGAGGTGAGTGAGCACTCACACACTCCAACATAGACTGCATCGACTGGAGGTGAGTGAGCACTCACACTCCAACATACACTGCATTGACAGGCGGTGAGGGACCACTCACACACTCCAACATAGACTGCGTCGACAGGCGGTGAGGGAGCACTCACACTCTCCAACATTTGCACACACCTCGGCAAGCTGTAGTGCTTTAGCCAATGAAAGGGACATGTTGCACACCTAATTTTCCTCATGCGTTACCTTGCAATGCAAATCTATTTTAAAGTAGCTGTCCCCTTTTGGGTGTCTTTGCATAATTCCAAAGACCCCAGATGTGACGACTTTGCCGTGAAGTGCACGGGAAGGTGACATTAACTTACCATCAACTACTTTTCCTCTGTACCCCCTGCAGCTTCATCAGCCTGGAGATCACAACAGTTCACAGCAGTTTTATTGTATTTGAGCTCCTTTTGTGCATTGACAACTTTATGTAATTTCAGGTTTGTAGGTACAGCTGGTACGATCACCATTAAGTGTAAGGACCTGCGCATAATTCAGTTGGAAATCACCGGGATGGACGAGTGTCTGAATATAGCAAGTTCAATTGAGGTAACAATTTTGTCTACATCCCCTTCCTGTGTACACGCTGTGTGTTCAATATTTATTTTAGTTCTTACTTGCATTGAAGCTGTGCAATATCTTTTCTCACAGCATTCTCATGTTTAATTAAAATGACAATCCATGCTTATCAAACATTTCCAACCAATCCAAAAAAGAAATAAAACAAAGATAATCACTTTAAAACAACGCATGACATTATCAGCTTGGCCAATTAGCTTCTGTGTGTCTGTGAAGTGCACACTGTTGGACATGTGTAATCCAGCACTACAAGGTTCAAAGTGCTGATTGGTCAACAGCTGTTTAACTCTGCAGAGATAAGACTGTCGCTAACCTACAAAGGAAATAAATCAGTCATTCGACCGCTTTGCCTAAAAGTGTTTCTGTGAGGGTGCAGGATGAACCAACAAGATGGCTGTGTTTTAGAACAGAAGAGGCAGGATTAAGATGCAGAATTTGGCAAAACACTATTTATATTTTGCAAAATAAATCATTTCCATTTTCAAAGGAACACTATAGCTTTAGAAATACAAATCAGTATTCCCCACGCTATAGTGCCCCTGTCCCTAACCTATTGAGTCCCACCACTGTCTGGTGAATAAAGGGTTACCTTCTTCACTTAGCTCTTTCCAGAGCCTCTTCCTGCCTCATCTTGGCGATGGTGGAGTCTTAGGCACAGGTGCTTCCTCGTGCCTAAGACTCTGCTAGGAACCAGGAAGCACCTCTAGTTGCAGGGACACTGCACCCAGACCACTTCAATGAGATGAAGGGGCCTGGGTGCCTATAATTTGTTATCTTGGCTGCTATACATAAGGAAAATACTATCTAATTTTCTAATGCATTTTATGTAAACTAGAGCACTCAGAGAAAAGGGGTAACGAGATTCAGACTCAGAGAGCGCAATATAAAAGCAGATTAGATTTCATTTATTTTTGGTGACCGAGCCACATTAATTACCATGCCCGTATGGATGCTTTGTATATCACAATGTTTATGGCCCAGTGATAGACCATGAATTATTTGTATTTTATCAGAAGGAAGTCGGCACTGGCCATGTGACTAGATGACAGTTATGAATAACTGTAACATAACCAACACAATTACATCCTTGCCCATCAAAGAAATTTTTTTTTTTTTTTTGAAGCTGCTAATGGGATGGTGTAACATTTTGTATGACGAGCCTGATTATTGCTTTATATCAATATTAATTCAAGTGGCTCTATCACCTCAAACTTACCTTTCTACTATTGTTTCCTCTTTAGGTATATGTTCTTCATTTCTGATCCATTTCTCTTTAAACATAAGACAAAGTGGGAGCAACTTTCTTATGTATTTTCCTATGCTTGACAAATGTGACAAAAGGTTGAAGCTTAAGGCAAGCTCCACTTCGTTTTGTCAAGCTAACCAAGGGTGAAGCTTACCGCAAGCTCCACCCAGGGCCGGTACAAGGATTCTTACCGTCCTCTGCAACAATCCATTTTGCCGCCGCCTCCTCATGAATGCAACTATATTCACTCAGAGGTTTATTCATTAAACGCTGAATTGCAAAGAAGATATATTTAGGGAAGGAGATACACTGGGTATACATTAAAGGGAGCTTAATGAAGTGGTTTGGGTGCAGTGTACCTATGGCACTTAGCGCTGCAATGTAAAATGTTTACATTGCAGCACGAAGTCTTCCTCCAGTGGACCAATACATAAATTCCCCACACACTTCCCAATACATACACACACTGCCTTATACATAAATTCATACACTCATACTGCCTATACAGTCATACATCCATCCATAGGCATGTACTGCTTAATAAATATATATCCATACACACATAATGCCTAATACACAGTGTAACTTACACACTCACTAACACTCTCTCTGACTTACACACACCGTATCTCGTATTGGCCGATATTCCAGATTTTGGCAGGTATCGGTATTGGTCACTATTGATACAGATATTGCCGATAATGTGAGATGTGGCGGTGGTTCAGCGCATGCAGGGCCGAAGCGTCCATAAGGTGGCACAGGTGACTGCCTTAAGGCGCTCAGGCCCGGGAGAGCAACAATCGAGTGACTGGCAGGAAGGAAGCGCACAGCACTCCCCCTACCAGTCACTGTAGCGTGGTCGAGCAGAGCGTCCACGGTACAGGAAACGGAAGCTCCTGTACCGCGGTCTGCTCCGTTCGGCCATGCTACAAGAAAGGTAATAAGGCACACCAGTGAGAAGAGAGGACCACTAAGGGGGAGGGATGGACACTAAAGGACGGAGCGGGAGAGAAACACTAAGTGGGGGCAAATGTACAGAATATCTGTATCGATAAGTTATCGGCCTGAAAGTTCACAGATTATCGGTATCAGCTCTCAAAAATCAATATCGGTCGATCCCTACTTCAGTGTTACAGGCAGGGGCAGCCAGGATACCTGGTTATGTCCCGGGTTCCCCTTTCTGAAGGAAGCAGAGTGCTCTGCTCAGGTGCTGGGGATACAGCACACCTCGCATCCTGAGAAGGTAATTGGCAGAGAGGAGACTAGCAGATGAACGGGTGCGCAGGGGGGTGTCTAAGAGACACTCGCCCAGATAGCAGCAGGGCAGACCACCAGGAAACCTCTCTGGGGTGCCCCCAACAGGGCCACGCACCAAGCGAATACCATATTTATTTGCCTAATTGTAGCCCTGGCCCCGGCTCCATTCCGTTTGTCAAGATTGCCAAGTCTAGGTATTCTGACTCGGATTGCTGTGATAGTGATCTAACCCTTGTGAGACCTCTGTGCCCGGCCTGTGTAAGCAGGTACAGTCACTGCAGACAATCCTCCTCAGCTGAACTCACCAATACTGGTTTCATCCAAAAGCTGGTTTATTCTGAACATCACACAACAGGAATACAGCAGAATGAATGGATTTCAGTATTATGCGGTCAAAAGATGATGCTTTCCTTAGCTTAGCATGTGGGATACAAGAGTCCCAGTTACATGAGGCAAATGCAAGCAGCCATGACACAGGAAGTACAGCAAGAACAGGGCGGAGTTTTACATACAAGGAAATTATGTATGATGCTCACAGGAGGAACAAGGGCATTACCAAAAAGGGCCAAAAGGAGGCAGCAAAAATACAAGGTAAATAAATCACAGAATATGCTATGTAAATTGCATCTACAATAATGAGAATATTAACTGTGTAACGGCACACTCCCCGTCTGACGTTGTAAATGTCACTATTTTATACCATAACGGTAGTTATACAAGTGCAAATAAACAACAGTGCAATTTGCTTGATGTCTTGAGAACGTGAAAGACATAAAGAAAAAATCATGCAAAAAATGCAACAACTTCAAGTTAACATTAACGTCCAAGACTCTTCCTTCTTGAAATCAAAGGTAGGAACAAACAACATACGCAAGTAAGTTCATTCTCCAAAGGGCAGGAGCAGAATAAGTTCAGTGATAGGTCTGATGAAGGTCTTTACAGTCCCTTGTCTTGCAACTTTCACCTCCACCTTGCGTACCTTGCCATCATCACTAGGAACACTCTTTATAATAAGTCCCATAGGCCACTTGAGTCTCCCAGCTTGTTGATCCTTGAGCAGAACAAGATCTCCAACTTTAATGTTAGGATTTGGGTGTTGCCATTTCCTGCGTCCTTGCAAAGTAGAAAGGTACTCCATCTTCCAACGATTCCAGAAGCAGTTGGCGAGGTGTTACACTCGCTTCCACTGGTCATAGCGCGAGTTTCCTGAGTTAAAGTTTCCGGGTGGGACAGGAATGGACCCAAGCTTTTGGGTAAGCAGAGTTGTTGGGGTTAGGATGGTTGGATTCTCTGGATCTGTTGACACTGGAACCAGTGGTCTGGAATTAATTATAGCAGATGCCTCTGCCATAAAGGTGGTTAGAACCTCGTGGGTAAGTCTTGTGCAATTTGAGTCCATAAGCATAGAGTCCAGCTCACGTAGTATGAAATCTGCAATTTCTACAGCTAGAACAGTCCCACAAAGTTCAAGCCTAGGGATTGTGTGCTCTGGCTTAGGTGCTAACTTAGCTTTTCCAAACAGAAACCCTATGTGGACTTGATTAGAAGAGTCTCTTACCTTGAGGTAGGCAACAGCCGCTATAGCCTCAGTTGATGCATCTGAGAAGATGTGAAGTTCTTTTCTCTGACTCGTAGTGAGGGAAGCTGAATTGTAGCAGCATGGTATACGGATTCCATCTAAGGCACGTAGAGATTGTTTCCAGGACTCCCACTTAGGAAGCTTGTCTGATGGCAGTGGGGCGTCCCAATCTTTAATAGTCTCAATCTTTAATAGTCTCTGAGAATTGCCTAAGCAAGGATTTGCCTTGTATGGTAATGGGAGCAACAAATCCCATTGGGTCATACAGGCTATTTACTACTGACAGAACACCACGCTTGGTAAACGGCTTGTCTGTAGAGCTGACTTGAAAGCCGAAGGTATCCTTTGACAAGTCCCACCATAGGCCCAGACTTCTCTGTTCAGGTGGCTTGTCCATTCCGAGATTAAGGTCTTTAAACCCTGTGGCATGATCATCAGGTTGAAAGGCTTTCATGACGGCAACACTATTTGAGGCAATCTTGTGTAGTCTGAGGTTAGCCTCAGAGAGCATATCTTGTGTCCTCTTGAGCAGATCTATGGCTTCTTCATCTGTAGGTAAAGACTTAAGCCCATCGTCAACATAAAAGTCTCTCTCAACAAAGTGTCGAGCGTCACTACCATACTCCTTTTCTCCTTGAAGGGCAGTCCTTCGTAAACCATATGTTGCAACAGCGGGTGAGGGACTATTCCCGAAGACATGAACTTTCATGCGGTATACATGATCTCATTGTCCATGTAGTTGTTACGGTGCCACAGAAACCTTAGGAAGTTCCTATGGTCTTCGCGTACAATGAAGCAATGAAACATTTGCTCAATGTCGGCAGTTATTGCAACTGGCTCTCTTCTAAACCTCATGAGTACACCTACAAGGTTGTTGGTTAGATTCGGGCCTGTGAGTAGAACGTCGTTCAGGGATACGCCTTGATGCTTGGCACTGGAGTCAAATACTACCCTGATTTGTTTGGGCTTGCGTGGATGATACACTCAGAAGAAAGGCAGGTACCAGCACTCATCATGACTTTGAAGTGGTGGCGCTGGTTCGGCGTGATCATTGTCGAAGATCCTTTTCATGAAAGCGATGAAGTGATCCTTCATTTCAGGTCTGTTCTTTAGTGTTCGTTGAAGTGAGTTCAGTCTGGATACAGCCTGTTCACGATTGGTAGGGAGTTTGGCTCTTGCTGTTCGAAGAGGTAATGGCGCAACCCAGCTGTTAGACTCATCCTGGAAGAATTCTTTGTCCATTATTTTGTTGAATTCTTTGTCTTCAATCGACAAGGCTAATTTGTTGTCATCATTTGTAGTACTAAACACTGCGGCACCTAGGTTGTCATAAGAAAGAATAGAAGCAGTATGCCGTACTTGGATCATGTCAAGAGGTTTTTCCTTTTCTTCATAATGGCGAGGGCATCGTCTGAAGTGGGAGGCACATCCATTCCCCAGTATGTAAGTTTTAAAGGAGCGGATCTCGGATGACGTATGCTTCCTGTCTATGCATACATCGCCCACTATTACCCAGCCTAGGTCAAGTCTTTGTGCATAAGGGGCGTCGTCAGGTCCATTACACTGGTCGCGCACTTTATGTACTCTGAGGATGTCTCTTCCTAGGAGAACCAAAATTTCAGCATTCATGTCCATTGCAGGAATCTCATCAACAAGGTGCCTTAAGTGAAGATGGTGATATGTGGCTTCTGGAGTGGGAATCTCTTGCCTTTCATCTGGTATCTGGTCACACTCAACTAATGTTGGTAGGGGTATACCCTGTCCCCCTTTGATGTGAGAAACCATGAACCCATCCACTCTTCTGCCAAAGGCCTCTACACGACCAGAACAGGTTCTAAGAGTATACGGTGTGGGATGACCCTCTATGCCAAAGATCTCAAAGAATTTAGGCTTAACCAGGGATCTATTGCTCTGTTCATCTATTATGGCATACATCTTAGTAGCTTTCTCAGGGTGGTCCTTTGGGTATATCCTGACTAGGCATACCTTGGCGCAGCATTTGTGATCCAAGCCTTCTCCACAGACTTCTGTGCACGAAGAGAGAACGTTATTCTTGGCTGGAGCATGACTTTGTTGCTCCCCACCATAACTTGAGGCAGGTGAGGAGGTAGGTGGCTGCTGTAACTTGTCTGGAAGTGGAGTAGGATGCATGGCTGTAACATGTTTGTCGCTGCCGCATTCTGTGCACTTGATGAGGGCTTCACAGTCTTTAGCAAGGTGGCTATAAGAGGCACAGCACTTGAAGCATATTCCAAGTTTCTGGAGAATCTCCCTGCGCTCTTGTAGGGTCTTTGCCCTAAGTCCACGACATTTCTTAAGAGGGCGAGGCTTCTTGTGAATAGGACACTGGCGATTAGGGTCTTTATCTTTGTCGACCACGCACTCATCACTAGGTGAGGTGGCGGAGGGTGAGATGTCTGTCCTCTTGACAGATATTGCTTTATTGAAGTCTCTACGTTTAGGTGCTGTGTTATCATACCTTGATGATGATGAGGATGAAGCAGGCATGTTGGGTTCACTGAAGCTGAAGCTGGGGTCATTTCTCATCCAAGCTTGATCACTAATGAACCTGCAAAAGTATGAGAATGGAGGAAAAGATACATTATAGTCTTTTTTTATACTTTGATCCTTGTTGTGCCCATTTCTCTTGTAGGCTGTATGGCAGTTTAGACACCACTGGGTTGACACCATGAGCAGTGTCCAAGAAGCTTAGTCCAGGTAGACGGGGATCTCTCTTTGCCAACTCCAACTCCATGAGGAGGTCACTTAGATCTTGCAGCTTGCAATGGTCTTTGTTTGATATTTTTGGAAAGTTTTGCAGTCTCTTGAATAGATCACTTTCTATGGCTTCAGAGCTACCATAAGTTTGCTCAAGTCTTGCCCATGCAGCAGAAAGACCTGCATCTGGGTGGTCAACATGCACTGTTCTCAGTCTTTTAACACGATCGGAAGATTCTGGTCCCAACCATTTTATGATCAAATCAAGTTCTTCCCTAGCAGTAAGGTTGAGATCAGCAATAGCAGCCTTGAATGTTGCTCTCCAGGCCCTGTAGCTCTCTGCACTATCGTCAAACCTTGAGAGACTTGTGTTAATGAGCTCACGGCGCACCATATATCTGGCGAAGTCATTCAAATCTGATTTCTCACTCCTTGGTACCAAAGTAACTTGTGGAACCCATTGGTTGTGAAAGTTCTCTGGTGATGTAAGGTGAGGTTCGCCAGGGTAGAATGATGTAGCATGAGTGTTTAACTTTGGCTTAGTCTCTAAGGCTTGTGCTGGCGGTGGCTTCAGATGCAGCTTGTCACCGAAAGTCACATTGTTGTTTGCAGGAGAAGATGTGGTTGGCTGCATAGATTTACCTGTATTGTAGACTTGAAGAGGCTCAGGCATATTGTGTTGGGAGGTCTCCGTGTTGAGAGTCAGAACAGTGTTGTTTGTAGGAAGTACAGGAGATGACTCTGTATCCTTGCGAATGTTATGCTTTAGTATATATTCGCTGGTGCGTTCAACTGGATCTTCCAGTTCTGCTGGGATAAGACAGTCCAGATTAGTGCTTTGTCTCATTGCTTGTTCGAGGACTTTTAGCCTTGCCAGGGAAGCTGCTTTCTCACCTTCCATTTGCAGAATCTTTATTTGTGCTTCTGCCAGGGAAGCTGCTTTCTCACCTTCCATTTGCAGAATCTTTATTTGTGCTTCTGCCAGGGAAGCTGCTTTCTCACCTTCCATTTGCAGAATCTTTATTTGTGCTTCTTCCTCTGCTTGCTTTCTGACAAAAGAGCTTTGCACCTTTTTTGCTTCAGCATCAGCGCGGGCCTCAATAAGCTTATCATTTAATATTGAATTTCTGGAGCGAGAGGATCGAGAAGAGGGTGCGGTGCGCTTGGTTGAGGTGGATCTGTGAGATCTGGTCTCCAGTAGATGAGCTATGCGGAGTTCTGCCTTAAGCTTAGCATTTTGCACTTCAAGATCCCTTTGTCGGTTTAGTGCATTGGTCCTGGTCAGTTCTGCTGAAGAATCCTCTATATTAAAGTCCTGCAAGAAGGCTGAGTATTTTACAGACAACCGCTTATAGCGTTCATATGCGGCACATAGGCGATTTACAGAGTCTCTTAATTCAGCCGGTTGATCAGTGAAATTTGCCAAAACTGACATGCAGTGTGAGGTTCTGTCCCAGAGGTCTGACAGATTACTGGAGAACTCATCTCTAGTTGCTTCATAGTTTTCTCTGAGTTTCTGTGTTGGTTTTATTATACGTTTGGCTTTTACACTTTGTTCTGTAATATCTGCTAGATCTGTTCCCTGTGCACCTTCTGGTTCAGAGGCATGATGTATCTGTATTGTTTCTGCCATAAAAGAGTGTTCAGAGCGTTGGCTAGACATTTTATATTGTTTTGCAGAAAATGGTACTGTCTCTTTAAGAAACCACACAGCAGCTTAGACGGGTAACACAGTTCAGTGTAGAGAAACAGCTTCAATGTTCACATGAAGTGCAGTTAGAATGCAGTAAGAACAGATCATATGCAGTGCAGTGAGCTTCAGCCACCATGCGCTTCACAAGATGGGGATGGGACTGAGCTAGATTGTAAATGATGCTCTCACATATACACAGCAGCTGCAGGAATTCTATGCATCTTTTGACTATTCTGACTCGGATTGTTGTGATAGTGATCTAACCCCTTGTGAGACCTCTGTGCCTGGCCTGTATAAGCAGGTACGGTCACTGCGGACAATCCTCCTCAGATAGCTGAACTCACCAATACTGGTTTCATTCAAAAGCTGGTTTATTCTGAACATCACACAACAGGAATACAGCAGAATGAATGGATTTCAGTATTATGCGGTCAAAAGATGATGCTTTCCTTAGCTTAGCATGTGGGATACAAGAGTCCCAGTTACATGAGGCAAATGCAAGCAGCCATGACACAGGAAGTACAGCAAGAACAATGGCGGAGTTTACATACAAGGAAAAGATGTATGATGCTCACAGGAGGGACAAGGGCATTACCAAAAAGGGCCAAAAGGAGGCAGCAAAAATACAAGGTAAATAAATCACAGAATATGCTATGTAAATTGCATCTACAATAATGAGAATATTAACTGTGTAACAGCACACTAGGGAAAATGCATAAGATAAGTAGTCCAAACTTTGTATTGTGTCTTAAAAAAAGATATGGATCAGAAATGAAGAAAAGAACAGATTATGGAAGGGGAAGAGAAGGGGAAACCCTACTAGAAAGGGTAGTTTGAGGCATCTGAGCTGATTACGGTTTCTTTCCTTCTTCAGGCCTTGTCCACACTAGATTCTATCACACTGATGTACCCTTTCTTCTATCGCCCAATGTTTGAAGTCACAGAGGACGGCTGGAACTCCTACCTTCCAGAACAAGAATTTGAACTTCTTAGTTCAGAGGTAAGAATTGCTAATATGTTTTATTTATAGTCATAAAACCTCAATGCTGATGCAATAGCAAATGCTTTCTGTGGGTGTACAAATTCAGATTTAATTATTTGGGCCAACTCAGTCATTTGGTATCAGTAGTTCTCTTTGCATCTTAACCCCTTAAGGACACGTGACATGTCATGATTCTCTTTTATTCCAGAAGTTTGGTCCTTAAGGGGTTAAACTGGTTCAGACAAACTAAAAAAAAAAAAATGCAAGTTGCATAATTTTTTTACAGTAAACGTTGTACAAGCTTACATCAGTGGTGGGAAAGACTGACAGAGTGAAACAAGACATACCCTCCCCGCCTTGCCACACACAGTTGTAAATTCCTTTTAAGTAACTGTTTTATCTCTCTTCCTTAGAACCAAACCCAAATCCATCCCTGCAACAAGTAGGCCATTTAATTTCACTTGGTTCTGACCACCCTGGTTCCTTCTAACTATATAGCATGCACCTCCAGCTGTTTGGAACCACAGTCACTCACCTCCTCATTAACTTCATGTGTTACCAGCTGCTGCAGTTACACCATTAATTATCTCTGCCATCACATACACATTCCTCTGCTTCCTCTTGTCTCATCTCTCCATTTTAACATTTAGATTGTAAGCTTACGGGCAGGGTCCTCTTGTATTGGTCTGTTCATATAGTGTTTATATTTTTCCCAATTTTACAGCGCTGCGTAATATGTTGGCGCTTTATAAATGCCAGTAATACATATCTAGCTCCTAATTTAGTAGCAAAGACTGAAATTCTGAACTTTCCAATCTACTAGCCCCCTTTCTTGAATTCTACTTTTCACAAAGTTCTGATTACTTAGACTTTGCGAGGGAGGTGTGTGGCAGGCTAGCGTGGCTAGAGAATGCATTCATAAAATAAATAAATGTGGCCATCTGTGCATTGTAGAGACTAATACAAATTTATATAATGTACATCAGTACTTATTAACTATATCGTCAGTTATTTCAGATAAATTCCTGCTTCTTTCTAAAATTGCTTGTTCGTGACTCTGCCAGTTTTTTACCCTTCATATTTTATTATTTTCATGACATTTTCATGTATTTATTGCCAGCTGATTAAAATAATTGTATTAGTTTTATACATATGGGGCTACATTTTACAGTTATAGAAAGGGGATATTTGACCATTAATTGACACATAAAAATTAACAGAGACAAGTGGTAAAGAAGGTCCTGTTCAAACGAGCTTACAATCTCTGAGTACGGGATAAAGACATACAAGAGAAATACCAGCATGTCAGAGGGGAGGAGGGACTGATGGATGAGTTTTGTCTCAAAATCGGCTAGTAAAAGTCATGCGTGGAAAACCTTTTGTAGAATATGCAAATTGCCTTTTGGATAATCTCGTGTGAGCAAAAAAAAAGGAAAAATCTGTGAAACTCCTAATGTAGTAGATCCCAACATCACCAGCTAAAATACTACCATCCCACCCCCGAGTGATATGTGGACATGGCCACGTAGTGGTTTTTGTTTTCTTGTTTTTTGTTTTTATTAATACCCGTTCCCGGAAAAATATTTTTCCATTATTTTCAATTCCAGCACAGCCAAGCTATGTTGACAGTTGTCTTTTCATCTTCCCAGGGAATAGACTTCAAGGATTTGATATAATTTTTATTAAATAAATAATGGAAAACCTGCGTAAATCACTTTTTATTTGTTTTTTATATTTGATGTGGGAATGCTGCAAACTATTTATTTGCATAACAAAAGGATATTTGTCCTGTCTGAATCCAGATGTTCACTCCCTGTCTCAGGACACAATTGTCATACATATTTTTAAAGAAAACAATATGATGACATTTATAAACGATGGACAGAAAAATATTCTGATAGGATTTGAAATCTGAGGAACTTGCAGTCCTCCTTAGTGACTAGTAAAATGAATTTATTGAGTGCTCGCTGACACAGGAGAGTGGAATTAGTGAGATGAATCAGCCTGGCTATTGTGGACGGATGAAGTCTTTAGCGGGGCTGAAAGCCAGTGAGAGGACAAACCTCTAATGAAATGCATCAGCAAATCATGACATGAGGCTTCCTGGAGGATGCTGAAGGTCACTGTGAGCAGGACATAATTTAACCCTGTACATTCAATATACCAAATCGTTGTCCCTAAAGGGTCATGAACTTCCTGATGTTTTGCATTTTTTTTTTTTTTTAAATTAAAAAAACATTAAGGGTCATTGTAAGCATCAAAATCACTTTGTATCACTGGTGGTTAACCCCTTAAGGACCAAACTTCTGGAATAAAGGGGAATCTTGACATGTCATACATGTCGTGCGTCCTTAAGGGGTTAAAGGAACACTATAGGGCAAGCATGTCAAACTCAAAGGCTAGCATAGGCCAAATAAACCAGGTTTAAGTTTATGTGGGACGCAAAAAAATATTAAAAAAACTTAAAGTAGAGTAAAAAACAAGCAGACTCCACTCACATTGCCGCTGCCAGTATGTGACTCTGTTGTCCATCCTCTGGTATACCCCTAGAGGCGCTGTCCGCACCCTGTGCCAAAGCGGATCCTCCCACTACTCGTTGAAACCCTGTGAAGGTGGAGCACGTTGATGTCCTGTCTGAATGTGATGTGGCGTTGCATGCCTCCGTGCACCTCCCGATCCTCCACTGCCCAGCGGCAGCCATCGCAACACAGACAGACACACACACACACACGGTAGCAGTGAGGAGCAGAACAGACTGAGCTCCCTCACCCGCGCCAGCGTCCTCTCATCCCAGGCCGGATCAATTTTAGCAGAGTAGGCACCTGCAATGTGGGGCAAGCACTTGCCTTAACATGTCAAGCTCGCGGCTCGCTGGGCAGGTTTGACATGCTTGCTATAGGGTCATGAACACAAACTTGTATTCCTGACCCTTTAGTGTTAAAACCACTATCTAGCCCCCCTGGTCTCCCCATGACTCCCTAAATATAGTAAAATCTTACTTGTGTTCAAGTCTGAAGCTGCTGGTTCTGCCCCTGAACTGCCTCTGTCTTCTGACATCAGAAGTGGCGGTCTGAGCCAATCACAATGCTTCCCCATAGTATTGTCCTAGACCGTTAATGAGGCAGATCAAAGGCAGAGCCAGCACAAGTCAAACACTGCCCTGGCCAATCAGCATCTCCTCAGAGATTAATTGAATCTATGCATCTCTATGAGGAAAGTTCAGTGTCTGCAGCACTGCCCAAGGAAGCACCTCTAGCAGCCATCTGAATGGCCAGTGGAGTTATCACTAGGCTGTTATGTAAACACTAAATTTTCTCTGAAAAGACGGTGTTTACAGCAAAAGTCCTGAAGGGAATGATTCTACTCACCAGAACAAATCCAATAAGCTGTAGTTGTTCTGGTTACTACAGTGTACCTGTAAGGTGCATGGATCCTGTACATGCATGCTTGCTTTTTAAAGCTCAGTTATTTTCTCGGACAATTAAATATAAATATTTTATTTATTTATTTTTTGCATTATTTGAATGCATTATCTGTGAATTTCATTTAAGAAAGGGTAGCATTTTGAACTGAATGTTTTATAGTTTGAGCGATATATTATGATTTACTGTAGTATGAAGAGTCATATCGGTAAAAATACTTGTATGTTTTGTTTTTTTTCAGACAGATGAGTGGAGACTCAGTCACGTGAATCAAGATTTCTTAGTCTGCCCGTCTTACCCCTCAGTTGTAGTGGTTCCAAAGTCAATCGATGATGAGTCCCTTAGGAAGGTGTCCCAGTTTCGTCAAGGGGGACGATTTCCAGTCCTTAGTTACTTTCATCGGAAGAATGGCATGGTAAGTAGCATTTTACCCCGAATATAACATTACATTAAACATTTAATGGGGCCTTTCCAGGACTTGACATGATCCACAACTGCTGGATAAATAAGTTAAAAGCGCTGCACGAACGCCTAGCAGCACAAATGAACCAGCTTCTAGCAACAGGCTCCCACCCTGACTGGCTAACACAAGGCAGAACAATACTGGTCATGGAGGACCCTCACAAGGGAACCACACCATCCAACTACCGACCAATAACCTGCCTCCCCACAACATGGAAACTCATGCAAGATGTTAGCAGTAACCGCATACACTGTTAGACACAACCAAGTTTCTGAGATTGTGTACTGAAACATCTGCACAGAACATGGATTGGACCTACTTAAGTCCAGATGGGAGATACCACAAAGGGTAGTTGAAAATGACTGTCTGGATCTTGAAGTCCCACAGGATCGTAGCCCAGTCAGACAAGCAAGTGCTGGCCAACCAACCAGATATCGTGGTGGTAGACAAGGAACGGAAGACTGCAGTCGTGTTGGATGTGGCAATACCCAGTGACTAACATCAGGAAGAAGGAACATGAGAAGGTGGACAAATACCAAGGATTGAAAGAAGAACTAGAAAGGATGTTGAAGGTGAAGGCAGTAGTAGTCCCAGTTGTGATAGGAGCACTCGGGGCTGTGACTCCCAAGTTGGGGGAGTGGCTTCAACAGATTCCAGAAGAGTGCAGAAACCTCAAACTCCCAGACCTCTGGTAGAGAACCCGAGAATGATATATATCACACACAATGTTATATATGAGTGGAGACTCAGTCGTGTGAATCAAAATTTCTCAGTCTGCCCATCTTACCACTCAGTTGTTGTTGTTCTTGGATCAATGAAGTCCTTTTATCATCACATTGATTCACAGATAGCATCTTCTTTTAGAACGTGCTTTTCAGTACAAATTGACATAAACCTTTTATGAATATCACCGGAAGATGTTTCAATAAAATGGACAAAAAGGGGTTGCACGCATTGTCTCATTCTTATCTGCTACTGTTCTGCATACTGAGAAAATGCCATGGCATCCTTTATCTGTTTCTTGTTCTCAGATTTATTATCCTTATTAATACACATTTATACATGCTTTGAAGCACCAGGATGAGAGGGGGCAATGAATCCGAATGTTTAATCGGAGCTTTACAAACACAAAAGGCACTCACGGAAGCTGCCCGAGATACTATTAAAATGATCAATTTCTATAATTTAACCACTTAAGGACCACATTACAGTCTATGCGTCATGCAGGACGGGGTTTTAATGTTATTGTTTGGAAGGATGTGTTACCTGAAACATTTCCATAGTGTTCTATAGACTGAAGCTGTCATTGGATGTTATTTATTTATTCCTTTTCAGTATTTTATGTTACGCTTTATAGTGAGTTTCCACCAAATCCTGAAGAGGTGGTTTTATCAGAGTCCATACAGATGTTTATATTTCAATTGGATAAATACTTACAAAAACATAACATACAGGGATATAATTTCTAATAAGTGGGGTAATAGCTGCTTGATCCAAGGAGACTTCTGACTGCCATTCTGGGGTCAAGAAGGAATTGTTTCCTAGTTTGTTGCAAAATTGCTTCAGACTAGGTTTTTTGCCCTCTTTTGGATCAACAGCAAAAACAAATGTGAGGAAGGCTGAACTTGATGGACGCAAGTCTCTTTTCAGCGGAGTACCAAAACCACTATATCTTAATGTGTTGTCTTTTCTCTGGCAATGTAGAACACGGCTGTTTCTGACAAGTGTCAATGCTTACAATTGACAGCAAATACATTGCTAGAAGTGCTTCCTCAAGATTTTTTTTATTTTTAAACGTCCGAATATGGCTAATACTTCTAGCGAAGCTTTGGATTGCAGGAAATATGCCATATATCTGCAGTGCTTTGTATTTATTTTAAACAAAGTCTGGGCCTATAATCTAAAAATAGAAAGGAGCATACCTAATTTAAAGCGAAATTACAAACAGCCTCGTTTTTTTTTTTTTTATATATAGATATAATTCTTTATTTGTGCCCAGCTCACAAACCCAAGAGGGCTTGCATGAATAAAACAGAAGAGAAATATTAGATAGGATACATAACGGCAAGGTTAACCCCTTAAGGACCAAACTTCTGTAATAAAAGGGTAATCCTGACATGTCACACAGGGGTTAAACAGGTATACATTTTCTCAGAGTGACCTAGTTGGGAGCTGGGGTTTTTATTTTTTAAGATATATCTAAGGGCTTATCCGAATATGTCTCCTCGAGACCTGTCCTAGGTGGGCTTACAGAGAGGTCGTGGGTGATATCATGCCCATCAGGTCTGCTGTGTGGGCCTAGGCTATCCCCGGCCAGAACATGTAATGAAAACAAACAAACTAGAAGTAAACAATCTGAGTATGTACAATTGTTATAATTGTGATGGCTGCGCCTTTTAGTTCTATCTACCTGCCAGCTCTTTACTAACCCTGTATATCTGGGATATAGCTCTTTACTAACCCTGTATATCTGGGATACAGCTCTTTACTAACCCTGTATATCTGGGATATAGCTATTTACTAACCCAGTATATCTGGGATACAGCTCTTTACTAACCCTGTATATCTGGGATACAGCTCTTTACTAACCCTGTATATCTGGGATATAGCTCTTTACTAACCCTGTATATCTGGGATATAGCTCTTTACTAACCCTGTATATCTGGGATACAGCTCTTTACTAACCCTGTATATCTGGGATACAGCCTTTTACTAACCCTGCATATCTGGGATACAGCTATTTACTAACCCTGTATATCTGGGATACAGCTATTTACTAACCCTGTATATCTGGGATATAGCTCTTTACTAACCCTGTATATCTGGGATATAGCTCTTTACTAACCCTGTATATCTGGGATATAGCTCTTTACTAACCCTGTATATCTGGCATATAGCTCTGCTCTTTACTAACCCTGTATATCTGGGATACAGCTCTTTACTAACTCTGTATATTTGGGATATAGCTCTTTACTATCCCTGTATATCTGGGATACAGCTATTTACTAACCCTGTATATCTGAGATATAGCTCTTTACTAACCCTGTATATCTGGGATATAGCCCTTTACTAACCCTGTATATCTGGGATACGGCTCTTTACTAACCCTGTATATCTGGGATACGGCTCTTTACTAACCCTGTATATCTGGGATATAGCTATTTACTAACCCTGTATTTCTGGGATATAGCTCTTTACTAACCCTGTATATCTGGCATGTAGCTCATTACTAACCCTGTACATCTGGGATACAGCTGTACTTATTACCAGCCATTTGGATATAACTAAGATCAGGCAGATTTTCAGCATGTGTGATGAATCCAAATTCCTTTCAATCATTGTGTAGCAGTCTATTTTGTAATGATGGTAACTTTGAAGTTGCATTTCAAACAGCAGCTAGTTTAAAGGATTATTTGCGATCTGTCTCAGTGCAGAGATGCCCCAGAATGCTGCATGTTGCAGGATTTGTTCTGTTCATACAAATTTCTCCTTGTGTGGATCGCACATCCTCCAAACACAGCGAGTTCCATCCCCAGCCACTGTCGTGGTGCACTCATTTTCGAAATATATGTGATGGTAGGAGCTTTTGTAGGTAAATGAATGCACCTCATTAATATCACAGCTTCACCCGGTGCGGCCGTTTGTTTTATCGGTGACAGGTTGAGCTGTGGCGCTCTCCGCAGCATCTGTCGGAGAGCTTTATTGTGTGTCACTAGCTAATTGATTGAGGTCCCACTCTCCAAGCGCTGAGAGTCAGTTCATCAATCACCGCTCTGTATTCCTGTACATTACAGTCCCTCCCCACACAGAGCCAAAGCCATTTTATGTCTGATCGAATTTCCTGCAATCTTACTGGGCCTCTTATTGTGAACTGGCTGATAACGTGATACAATGCAATTATGTTATTAAAGGTTTGATAATTATCTTTCCTTCCCTTCTATATATCAATATAGCTATTTCTCCTCCATTCTGCTCCTTGCACTGTCTTTTTTTTATTCGATTCCTCTATTTAGCTTCCCTTTTCCTCGTTGTCCTTGAAATGTTGATTTATGCATGGCCTGTTCCACTTAAAACAAATAATAAAATGTGATCTATACAATGCGCAAGCAAAATAATTAGCATATATGTAGATTAAATGTGTACTCCACTTATATTTGCATATTATTGTGTGCTGCATGTATAATTTCACATACCTTTAGTATAGTATATTATAAAGCATACAGATAACTTGCTAAGGATTCTGGGATAAAGTACTCCGTATTATGGGAAACTACATGTATATCCATTTCCTTGTATCAATAATAGATAATGAGCTGTAATCCTGAACTAGAAAATAGATACGTAATTTTACATTTAATAGGCACCTGGCTATTAAGAGTTATAAAATGTATTTTATTGCTGCACTGATGTTTTGGCATTGCCGGTATAATTTAAAATCCGAAATTTTACAGTATTTGTAATCAAATCTCATTTCCTACAAGTACAGCACAAACTGTGAAAAATATAAAATGAATGTGTGGGTTATTTTTCCTTTTCACCAGCATGTCTTTAATATGTTTCGATTGATCAACAATAAATAATCCGTAATGAAGTCGCTACGAAGTTAACTGGGTCTTCTTTTACTTGCAGGTAATTATGCGTAGTAGCCAACCTCTTACCGGGACAAACGGCAGGCGGTGCAAGGAAGATGAAAAGCTGATTAATGCAACTTTGAGACCTGGGAAGAGGGGATACATCATAGATACTCGCTCCTTGAATGCGGCTCAACAGGCCAGAGCAAGGGGCGGTGGGTTTGAACAGGAAGCATACTATCCGCAATGGAGACGGATTCACAAGTCCATTGAGCGGTATGACGCCTACATATATGCAACACCATATTAATAAGTGAAGTTCTAGGTATTTAACTCCAATCTACTTTAGAATGGGTAGACTCACGGGCTGAATGGGTGGATTTTCAGGGCTCCAGACCAAATATCCAGGTGAATGAGCTGATTCTCAGAACTGTCTCCGTGTAACTGGATGAATGTGATGGTTTTTAGGCTCGATGTCTATATTCTCTGAGTGAATGAAACCGTACAATGGAGAACTTCTCGGACCTCATGGGCAGGTTTGCTGGATGAAATGGTAGATGATTTTCAAGGTCTCAGATATATAATGGCAGACTATATGGACCTTGGTTATAATGGGCAATAGACTGGATTATCTGGGTTTCGGTAAATGGGTAGACTCACGGTATGAACACTAAACTTTTGAGGAGCTGAGACACATTAGCTGTCACTCTATTTTTGCTAGATTGTCCAAGAAGCATGTTCGTATCTGTTTTTCAATATGTCCATCTATGATCATAACCTCACACATTAAAAACTGATGGACCTTAGATTATTTTCAAGCAAAGTCTTATCATTGATGACAAATATCATATGTTTATTAATTTTGTCTTCGGAGTCCCGCCACATCATTTACACATTACTAGCAAAGGCTATTCTGAATTGAAACAACCGTTAATTGAGGTTCTCCCTAAAGATGTGTTGTAATTCCTCCTAAAATTTCAAATTATTTTCAAGGTCATACTATCAGTGCCTCAATGACTACAGGATAGCCAGCTTCTCTCTCCAGAAAACCCCAGTGTTATTGTTTGAATCTGTATAAGGAGATGATCTGTTCACAGTAGACAATCTAGCACCATATTTCCAGTGGATTTATTTTTCCATTTTTATGGATGTCTTTTTAGTTTTACTACGGATAATTTTATGATGATGTGACTTTGTGCTGTAGCATAGTACAGGGACGGTGAAAATGTACACCTCCAGGTATCTTATAACTGCGACTCCCTTATGGCTGGCATTGTGTCATGGCAGTTGAAGATCCACATCTGGAAGAGATTTTTTTTTTTCCCCTATTCCTGCTGTTTTTCCCCACTATGTTAAAGGGACACTTTAAGCACCAACACTACTTAAAGTGTTTTTGGTGCATATACCCAGTGTTTGTTTTCTCTGGCAATGTAAAACTGTTACTTTTTCAGAAAAAACTGCAAAGTATACATTTGCCAGGTAACACACTCTTCTAGTAGATGGATGCTAAGGTCATTTCCTCATGACGACTTTCAAAAATCGAAGGTCTTCATGTTCACGCTGTTAATCTTTCTCTACAAGAAGCGTTCAACTGGTGCAGCATGGTGATTGGGTTCATGCAATCGCATGTCTCCATAATGCTTCTCAATGAGGAGCAAGTTAATCACAACTGATGATCTCAGGATTACTTTTTTTTATTTTATTTTTTCAGTATGTTACGATGGGGAGGGCCATAAATCAAAAACTAACAATTTTAACTAAACTCTAATTTCCAAGAAAGAAAAAACTGAAACCATTCAATGTGTGTGTCGTCATCTCAGATATAACATTCTACAGGAGAGCCTGATTAAGCTCGTAGAGGCTAGTAACGACCAGTCCAACAACATGGATCGCTGGCTCAGCAAGCTGGAGGCCTCCAACTGGTTGACTCATATCAAGGAGATATTGACAACTGCTTGCCTTGCTGCCCAGTGCATAGACAGGTAAGGATGGTCTGTGCCCATTTAATTGGCCTCGGAGACTATAAATGGCCTGTGGTTTAATAGAAACATAACATAGCGTAAATGTGACTTTTTCTTTTATTTTTCTTCCTTCCAAAAAGGTTTAATATCACGTTTTTTTTAAAAGTGCCATATTTATGGTGTTTACAGTATGAAGGCTTGAACAGAGTGCAAACTTTGCTCCCTTGTGAAAGCACTGTGTTAGCTGGGCAGACAGACATGAAGGCTGTGATAGGACTGTGTTAGTTGGGCAAACTGAGAAATGGAGGTTGTGAAAGAATTGTTAGTTGGGCGGACGGAGAATTGGAGGCTGTGATTGGACTGTGTTAGTTGGGCAAACAGATGGACGCTGTGATAGGACTGTTAGTTGGGCAGACAGAGAGGTGGAGGTTGTGAAAGCACAGTGTTAGTGGGGCATACGGAGAGATGTAAGCTGTAAGAGCACTGTGTTGGGCAGACGGAGAGATGGAGGCTGTGTTAGCTGGGCAGACGGAGTTATGGAGAATATGAAAGGACTGTGTTAGTTGGGCGGACGGAAAGATGGAGGCTGTGATAGGACTAATATTTGGGCAGATGGAGAGAGAGAGAGGCTGTGAAAGCACTGCGTTAGTTGGGCAGACGGAGATGGAGGCTGTGAAAGCACTGTGTTGGGCAGACTGAGAGATGGCGGCTATGAAAGCACTGTGTTAGCTGGGCAGATTGAGAGATGGAGGCTGTGAAAGCACTGTGTTGGGCAGACTGAGAGATGGCGGCTATGAAAGCACTGTGTTAGCTGGGCAGACGGAGAGATGGAGGCTGTGAAAGCATTGTGTTAGCTGGGCAGACGGAGATGGAGGCTGTGAAAGCACTGTGTTAGCTGGGCAGACGGAGATGGAGGCTGTGAAAGCACTGCGTTAGTTGGGCAGACTGAGAGATGGAGGCTGTGAAAGCACTGTATTTTTGGGGAAGAAACGGAGGCTGTGTTTTAGCATTGGCACAGTCATTTCTTAGGTGGCAGCATTTACTGAAAACTTCCAGGAATATTAACAGTCAAGGCAGAGTTATTGGCCATAAAATGTGTGTGGATGATAAAAATGATAAAACCTATTTTCAGGTTCATTGTCAGATTCTTCACATTGTGCAGAGGCATAGATTCAATGTATACTCTTCTGAAGATCTTTTTCTGCCTCCTGTAACATGGCCATGTTGGTATATATAAGCAGGTGGACATTCATTATTTGTAGCAGCCATTTATTTTCTGTTTTTGAAGAGCTCACTTTAAAGTGATTTCATGTAATTTTTGATTTAAAACTCTAGGGGTTTCTTCCATTATCTTGATGCCTTTAGATTTGTTTGTGGCAGTCCCTGTGACTCTCACTGCATTATTTCACTAAAACAACATCCTGTATGTAGAAATCATGTATTCAGTGTAACCTGTACATCTAATGGAATGTTAATTTCTCTCCCCATTTTGAAAGATAAAGAATAATTCATTAGATTGTAAGACCTGTTCTCATAATTCCCCATAACGGCACATTTTAAAGCATTGTTTTGCCTTTACCTTTGATTACAAGACAATATTATTTTAACTAAACATTGAATTGTGCTGAATTTCAAAATGCAAAAGCCACTCGAAAATAGCCGATCAGTGTTTGTAGCTGAACTAGATTTTTTTTGTTTGTTTTTACAGACTAGCTTTTTTTATTATAAAGAAAGTAGTCTAGATAGACACCATAAGCACTAGATTAGGTCGGTATAATTTCCCTTCTGAAAGATACCGACCTATGTCAAAACATGGCCATTGATGGTATTCATGGTTCATTAAAAACTTCGTGTGAATTTATGGGGATTTCTACTCCCATCCCTTTAAATGGGTGACTGAAATTCAGAGACACCGTGTAGACGTCTCTCTCATCCCACCTGATCCTTTTGAGTTCCTGATATTTCTGTTGCTTTGATATGACAGGGTAGTCATTTTCATAAATCATGTACTAACTCTCTGTCTAACTGTTAGGGAAGGGGCTTCTGTGTTGGTTCATGGATCAGAAGGCATGGACTCCACTTTACAAGTGACATCTCTCGCACAAATCATCTTGGACCCAAAGTGCCGGACTCTCAGAGGCTTCGAATCTCTGGTAGAGAGAGAGTGGCTGCAGGTAAATAGCTTTCAGATGGGCTTGGTGGACACCACATAATTGCTGCAGAGGTATTTGTTTGAATTGTAGAGAAATTCTAAATCTGCCTGAAACAGAAAATGCACAAGAAGCCAGTGACAGACTTTTCCTGTTAATTTATGTTGAAGGCATTATTTGATTTAATTAAGCAACTACTTCCCATAAATGTTTCACTAGGTAAGATGTTAAGGAACTATAATGCCTTTTTTCATCTAATCAGGGCATTCCTGAGATGGGTTTCTTAGCTTCCAGCATTTCATTTGCTCAGATAGGAAATAAGTGAATTAACTGATGTTTTAGGGAAAAATCTCAAATGGCATCAATGGCAACTGGAGAACACGCTGCACCCGGCGGGATACTTGATAAGAGTGCAAGCGTTGCAAACGGACCCGGGTTATGCCTACCATTATAACCACTATAGCAAGCTGTAGTGGTTATGGTGCTTGAAGTAAAGATTAAAAATTTAACATGAAGTGCTTGCAGCTTTTGAGGCCTGAATAATTCCTTCATATGACAAAATGTAAGCCATCTATTGTACGTTGATCATTTTTTATTGGCCTCTAGAGTTTATTAAAGTTTTAGTAGAACACTTGACTATGTATATACCCTACCTTAGTCCATTTATTAAGCAGTAAACGAGGTGCATGTTAACATGGAAGAGAACTCAGCGAGATTTCCATTGCTTAGATCAAAGACATTTTCTTAGGGGGAATATCGGAAGATAGTTCAAGCCATGCAATCTGTCTGATTAATAATCATTGTATTGATAATTTAAGATGACCTTTGTTCCTTGTTTGCCTGCAGGCTGGTCACCCATTCCAGCAGCGTTGTGCTCAATCTGCTTATTCAAACAGCAAACAAAAGTGGGAGGCTCCAACATTCCTCCTCTTCCTGGACTGTGTGTGGCAGATTCTTCGTCAGTTTCCGTGTTCATTCCAGTTTAATGAGAGATTCCTCATCACACTATTCGAGCATGCCTATGCTTCTCAGTTTGGCACCTTCCTGGGCAACAATGCTCTAGAAAGGTTGGTGACCATAACATGTCTGTTTTTGTTAATAATTGTCTAACCTGCCTTAAAATCGTAAGGGACTCCCACATTGAGTCTGAAGAAAGCAACATGTACTAAGGTACATTTTAATGGAGGTCCTGAATATATGTGATCCAAGTTAGTAATGTTATACACGTATTACCAATAATACTGATCACTATCAATGTTTTCTTAAAGGAACACTCTAAAATAACAATTAATTTAAATATTGTCATCTCAAGTCGCCGAACTAACATATAGAATATGCAAACGTGACAGGAAGAAGCTGTTCCATGCAAAGAAATTCACACAGTCCACACAGAATACATACAGGCTGCTTACAGCTGTGTCAGAATTGGTAACATCTGTCTGGCTGAGCATTGTTTGAAAGGCAGCTCACAGTAGCTGGAATTGTAGATCTTTACCTGGTCTGATTTCAGCAATCTTTCCTGGCTTTCTCGCTGTGTGACTGTAGAATAGTTAATGTTCTAAGTATAGGGGTTTAATCTCAACTCAAATGAAAGCTTATCTGAAGGATGTAATCCAGTTAATCTCATACACTGTGGAGGAGTTGGGGGGGGGAAAAGGACATTTGGGGAAAAAAGACATTTGCTTGGTTTCCATGGTGGTTGGTCTTTATTTAGCACTCTGTCCAATAATAATGCTTGTTTGAACCCTGATATAATTGAAACATCACATTCCGCAATGGGAATCAACTAAACTGGATGATGTCATGGCCAACACCAAACCCCGACCCCTGAGAATGTTTGTTTGGCATCTACGCTTGCATACGATAGACATCTTTTATAGTAGTTAACCTACAAAATAATGGTCACATCAGATCATTTGCTTTCCAATCCAAATTTGTTTTCAGATTACTGTAAAGACCTGTCTCATAATGTTCTATTGTTTATTGTAGTTAGATATGACTTTTTTTTTTGTTTTACTGTCTTTCAGAGCTAAATTAAAGTTACAGCAGAAAACAATGTCTCTGTGGTCCTGGGTGAACCAACCAACCGAGCTGAACAAATTCCTGAATCCGTTGTTTGAAGCAAATGGGCTGGTGATCTGGCCGTCTGTTGCCCCCCAAAGTCTCCAGCTGTGGGAAGGTATTGTGCTATTTAATTATTTTTTTTTTGCCTCTTATCTTGGACATTAGAAGGCATCATCTTAGTAATGACAACATTCCCTTCTCCACTTTTAGAGCTAAGCCCTTTCTGCAGTGATTATAAAAACGCTTTCCTGACTTCACAAACCTCCCTGTTTGTCCCATCTGACTGGCGCTGTACTGCCGTTCAGTGCCTCTCTAATGGTGTTTAACACAATAGGGTCAGGAATGCATGTTTGTGTTCCTGACCCTAAAGTATTTCTTTAAGACTAAGTGATCATTTTTCTAAACGGAATCTCATTGGTGTTTACACTGTCTTCATAGAGAAGGTATTTAGCACACATTGCTTATGTATGCAATTCACAAATACCCAGGAAGATTTCCAACAATTATTGGTAATAGTCATTAATGTTATCTCCCATATACCATGTCAATTAAATGGTACAAAGATCGTTTCAATCAGTAAAACACATGGTAATAGTTCCTGTAGAATGAACAAACACTAAGAACTAAATGCATCCCTCACTTAATATTTAATAGAATATAAATGTTTACATTTACAGGATTATTTACCAAAGTCAGAATTTAAAGTACATTTCAAATTTAAGATAAAAAAAAAAAAACCCTGTCAGCTCTGCTCAGTTCGGCTACTTTGACCTTAACTAGGAAATCTACTTCATATTCACTTTGAATTCTCACTTTGGTAAGTAACCCTGTTAATCTTCCATGTCTTGATGTGATTGAAGACATGACCAGACAGGTGATAAGATCTCTTGGCACACACTCCCTCTGTACCAGACATTCATTAATAAAGCCAGCTTGCTGTTAGAGTCTTGTATTCAGATCAGTTCCTTATGTTGTTCTGATCCACCCTGTAATTTGAATTAGGCGTCAAGTTCTGTCGCCTCATGTATTGGGAAATAGGGAGGACTTGTACTCATTATAGGAGTACAAATGTGTGAAATGAATTGTCCAGCCGTGCACAGTCCTGTGAATCGGATCCAGTTTGTGGTTATGTTATAAAATGCTTTGGTATAACTGAGCTAGAAAGCTAGATAGAGATTATTTATTGTGTTTGCTTGTTTATGTATCAGGGATTTCTAAACCTGTTAAATGTGTGGCATGATTTACCATTTTTCTTCACATGGTCTTGCAAACGAAATGAAAACTGAACAAAGTTTACATGAAGGCTACACATCAAAAAAAATACAGCTTGAAATCTTACAAGGTTACTAAAAGAATCACCTGTCCAGTTACACCATATGGTCATATTGTGTTAAGCCCACCACTACGTCACAGGACCCCAATATTGATAGGTCCTACATTTAACATGTGAGATGGACATGCTAACTGTGATATTTCCTTCTTAAACTGCTTCCAGAGACTCTCTTTAAAATCCTGCTCTCCTATGGACACCTATAGTGGAGGGGTGGGATTTTCAACCCAAAAGGAATCTGGTATAGATTCCAAATATACACAGAAAAAAGGGAAATTGAGGGCACACCTGGAACATGCATGCAGGGTGTAACCAATCCCCATATTTGGTGGTTTTAAGTAACCATGTAAGACTTAAAGCTTTATTTATTTTGTGTGTGCTATTCTTTAATCTGTATTCTTTATATAGTTTGCTCTTTACAGTAGCACCACAGTTTAGAAATGTATGTCTTTCTCTCAGATCAGTATACATGTATGCAAGTAGACGCAAAATAAAATCATAGGCCAGAACTAACTTACAGAAAATGCACAATACATTAAAAAAATAAGGAGTTTTGGTAGTGTTTGTGGCAAACTTTTTCTTTTTTTTTTCTTTTCTAATAAAACATAGTCCTATACAGGATAGATTTAAAGAAAATAAGTTAAAGAATCTTATACACAGGACATGGATAAAAAAAATCGACAGAATTCTAGAGAGGTACAGAAGGCATAACTAGATGGGAATTAAGAATGTTTGTGTAAGTAGACAACCATAATAAAATGTATAGACTTAACCAGTACTGGATCTATCACGAGACTGAGAAGGCATTTCCCATGGGTGGCACTTTCCATAGGGCAATAAAAAACACAGCCTCCTAAATACCCCGGCAACTTTAACAAATGCCTTTAAGCCTCATGCCATGGGGGCCCAAGAGCTGGTTGGCTGGCTACCTTAGAGCCCTCAGACCGTTGTGCGGAATGGAAGCTATGGCGATGGAGCTCTTCTTGCTCTGCTCCACTGTGCGTCCTGCTGTGATGCAGGGAGCCGGAATATGATGGCATTCCGGCCCCGGCATCACTAAACGGCGAGCGAGGATGCAGATCTGAAAGATTACAGCAGCCACACTGGCCCCAGAGAAATAATCCTCTCCAGCTCTCCCAAAAGTTGGGAGGCTGAGCAGACTTAAATCGAAATGAAAAATAATAATCCGTGAATGTATGAGAAAATGTGAGTGTCTGTCGGTGAAAGTGTGCGTTTTTTAAACTGTGTGTGTCAATGACTTCGTCAGTGAGGATGTGAGTTGGTCTTAAACAGGAAGAAGTATAGCCTTGACAGGAAGGGGTGGGGCATATTTACATTAGGGAGGTGCCTGAGTTTAGTCATGCCCAGGGCAGCTCAAAATCAAAATACATAACTGGGCATAATTTAAGGAATCAAAAATGACAAACTGGAAAACTAAGAGGGAAAAATAACAATAGTAAATAACCACCCCTCACTTTTAGGATCCTCCAGTGTTTGAGTCAATGACAGTGTGTGCCATCAAATGCTTAAGGATTCAATCCTAAAATGGGATTACCTATTTGTTTATTGAATTCAAAGCTGCAATGCTAAATAAACCAGCCAATACAGCTAGAGTAGTAGAGAGTTCCTAGACAGCAGTGTGTGGTGATGGCAAAATGTAAAATGTGGTGCTAAATAACTAGTCTTATTTTTTATAAAGCTCTTTGCATATTACTGTCGTAGATGTGACGGAGTAAGCGATATTGAGCCTGCATGTTAATGATGTCACAAACCTGGATGTTGACACTCATTATTCACATCCCTCTCTCTTTCTGTAAGGGGTCTTCCTTCGATGGAATAGATCCTCCAAGTATTTAGAAGATGCTTATGAAGAAATGATCCACATTATAGAGTACAACAAGGAGCTTCAGGTGAAAGTAAATGCACTGAGACGGCAATTAGCAGAGCTGGAAACTGAGGATGGTGCTCTGGAGACCCCCTAACGCCTTAATTTTACTGTATAAAATCCTGTCTATCCCAGATAGACTTCATGTTTACACTATCTGTGATGCATGCACTACATGTTTCCCTGGTTCAATTAATCTTAAACCCTTTCAATGTCAGAAGGGCCGGCAACATTACATACCTCTTTGGCAGTTTGTAAAACAGGGTTGGCCAAAGACTAGCAATCTAACTGTTGTTCAACTACAACTTGCATGGTGCTTTGCCAGCCTACAGATTGGCGCTATTGATTTCAGTGGGTTTGTCACCTTCCCAAATATCTTGCCTTAAAGGAAGCTTCTATCAGGGTTGTATTTTACAGTTTGCTCTTTCTAACTCCCTTATTCCAACCCTTGGTGGAAGTTGATCTGTTCTGGCAATTTCAGCGAAAGGAGAAGGAGACTCACTCCAACTAAGAGGAAAATTGGCACACTTCTGCAATAACGCCAATTCTGAAATGTGTAACACAATTAAATCGTTTAAAATAAATAAATATAAATATATGTAATTAAAACAATGTAATTTGATTCCAATGGCACATTTAATGAAATTCTAATCTTAAAGGTGGCACGTTCATTTACATTTTTTTCTTATTTATACTAAACACATCTAGTGATGATTTAAGGATTGTTGGTGGAGCCAGTGATGTATGTAAAAGTGGGTCATGCTCTTAAAGGTAAACTCTCTCCTAAAGATAGCAAATGCACAAATGTTTGTTCATAACCTTTCACTTGACGTGTGTATATTTGTGCTAGGCTGTGTTGTAATGGTGTAATCTTACCACTAGATGGAGCTGTTAGTCACAGTAATTTCCTGCCTTGGCCCTCGAGATTCCCCCTTTTGACTCACCTGTCCTCTGCAAATTTTGCACATTGTTTTCATTAAAGGGACACGATAGTCACCTGAACAACTTTAGCTTAATGAGGCAGTTTTTGTGTATAGAACATGCCCCTGCAGCCTCACTGCTCAATCCTCTGTAATTTAGGAGTTAAATCCCTTTGTTTATGAACCCTAGTCACACCTCCCTGCATGTGACTTGCACAGCCTTCCATAAACACTTCCTGTAAAGAGAGCCCTATTTAGGCTTTCTTTATTGCAAGTTCTGTTTAATTAAGATTTTCTTATCCCCTGCTATGTTAATAGCTTGCTAGACCCTGCAAGAGCCTTCTGTATGTGATTAAAGTTCAATTTAGAGATTGAGATACAATTATTTAAGGTAAATTACATCTGTTTGAAAGTGAAACCAGTTTTTTTTTTTTTTCATGCAGGCTCTGTCAATCATAGCCAGGGGAGGTGTGGCTAGGACTGCATAAACAGAAACAAAGTTATTTAACTCCTAAATGACAGTGAATTGAGCAGTGAAATTGCAGGGGAATGATCTATACACTAAAACTGCTTTATTTAGCTAAAGTAATTTAGGTGACTATAGTGTTCCTTTAATATACATTCTCTTGACTGTATATATATTATTTTTTTTTGTTTGTTTCTACATTTCTCAAAGTACATTTAAATGTAACATGTCCATACAGCAACTGATTGCTAATGTATATATTAGTCCTAGAGGAGGATTGGACAAACTGCAAATCTCCAGCCCATTTGGACTTCCATTCCTATAATTCCAAGCTGAGTAGCTGACTGCCAGTATTGGGAGCTGCAGTTCAGCAACAGGTTCCATCCTCTGTCCTAGAAGGAACTAAAATACCTGGAACATCGCTATACACTCCAATAATTATTATAAAATGCTATTTACTGTGAAACATTAAACGGTGTTTCTGTAACAATGGTTCTTGTTTTTTGTTCTCACACTGGTCTCTCCATCTTGGTTATTACTTGGGTGTAAAAATAAGGTAAAATACTGTGGTTTCTTTGGCTTGGTCAAACAAGTTTTGGTTTCAAGGTGGCAGCAAGTCTAATTTTATTTTGTTTTTTCAGCAGAAAGGATTGCATTATTTTCCCTCAATACCAGGGTTGCATATGACTGATCCAATTTTCTCACTGTATCTGGATGTGTGCATCTACACTGTCCTCTTAAAGGGCCCTATCCACTGTTCCTTTTAAATCATTTAGTGTGCATTCAGATACTGTAACTCTTAGCAAAGGAAAGCCGACCTGCAGTTAAGATAGAGGCCCTCGAACAGAGTATGGTTCATTATCTGAATAGTACACGGAACATATAAAATAAACTACTGAGCTAAAAAAAATTCTCTTTAATCTGTTCCTTTGATCAGTATGACCTTCGCCCCTTCACCATTTTACTTTAAACATGATCTTTCTTTTCTTACCTCCAGCGCAGAGACGGGCCTTACATCTGCTGGCTCCTCCTGCTTTCTTATGATTATGCCTGCTGGCTTGCCATGCCAACTTCTTGTCCAATCAAATACTTCTCATAGAGAAGCCTAGAATTCAGGGAGAAGCATTGAGTGATCACTCTGCATCCACATGCAATGTGTTGAAGACTTGGTTTTAATTTTGTAAACTCCATCTAGTTGGTGTCCGTGTAACAGCCAGTAGAGGTGTGTTTAGCTCCCGAGGCACTGCACACAGACAAGTTTTTTTTTTTTTTTTGAGTGCTTATACTGTCCCTTTAAAGGTATCAGAAACCGGCTATCTAAGGGTGCTAGTCAAGTTCAGTTCGTGGGGCCCGCAGCACTGCATTGAAAACGTGTGTGCCTGCTTTCTGTACTCATGTGGTTTTTATTTCTTGGTTAATTTGGAAGGAATGTACCAAACCAGCTCTTCTTGGGAATATGTGGAAAATCTGGAATAAGAGTGAACATAATTGTGGCGGAACTGCTGCTGTTCATATATTCCCCCTCTATTTATTATGTGTATTACTGTCTTTGTGTATTGTGCCCGCTCCCCGTTTGGGAGTGCTTCCACGAAGGAAATCCTTTCACCTCCTGAACGGGGACTACCCCAATGGCCCATTTAGAATGCGTGTTAGAACGTCAATTTAGAACGTTCGCACCCTGACTGTGCCAAACGCAAGGGAAACCTTACCGCATGTCCCCTCCTGGGTGGCTGCCCTTTCGTATAGACGAACGCCATCCGTGGGGAGCATTCATGAATTGCTTCCCTCCTCGTTCTTTTCCTGAACGAGGACCTCACCGGTGCCCCATTGGAATGTTCACACCAATCAATTAGAATGTTAACACTCGCAACATAAATGTAATACTGCAAGGGAAGTAATTAATGAGTGCTCCCCTAGGTGGCGGCCATTCTGTAGACGAACACCAACCAGGGGAAGCATTCATGTCCCTAAAGGAGACTCTTCCCTTGCCTGGTTTCACACAGGGACCCTGCAAACGGAGGCTGTTCGAGCCAGGTACCTTTGTGTGGGCAACTTTTTGGGCACAGGCTAGTTTGTCAGGCTTTCTGTGCCCAAAAAGGTGGTGCTTTGCCAGCCTAGAGATTGGCGCTACTGATTTCAGTGGGTTTGTCACCTTCCCAAATATCTTGCCTTAACGCCTTAAGGACCAAACTTCTGGAATAAAAAGGAATCATGACATGTCACACATGTCATGTGTCCTTAAGGGGTTAAAGGAAGCTTCTATCAGGGTTGTATTTTACAGTTTGCTCTTTCTAACTCCCTTATTCCAAACCTTGGTGGAAGTTGATCTGTTCTGGCAATTACAGCAAAAGAAGGAGACTCACTCCAACTAACAGGAAAATGAAATACAAGGCGGAAGCCTTTTCCTGCTCTTTGACTCTCAGGTACAGAGGCTCCTGGGATGAAGACCCCCCTGACATCTGGAGTGGGAGACCCCGGATTTGGAGGGCGGGAACAGGGGTCAAAGGAAGCGAAATTCCTTTCCCACGCTAAGACTCCTGAGAGTGGGAGAATCCTGGGATGGGACCTGGTTGGTGTGTGTTGGAGACCCCTTGCATGGGGTTATGTATAAAGCAGAGTGTGGCCAATAAAATCATGTTGTCCAGTTACTGGGGGGAGGAAATGGGTTTCTGTGCCTGCTAAGTTGGTACGGAACAGTTGATGGTAGGGAATTCGTGGAGGTAACTGGTCAGGTTACACGTGGTCCGCTATAATAATATATCATGATTTGCTTCCCCTCCCCCCCCCCAGTGACACTGACACTGGTTTACTGCCTCCCAGAAGAACCTACGTTTATAAATCTCAATTGCTTAGCTCAAGGATATGGCTTTCACAGTCCGAGCCATGGTTCAGTGATTGTAATAGAGCAGTTAAATGCTGCTGCTTTTTCAAGGTGCATGTGCTTACTTCATGTCAGAGAATCAATAGGAAAAAAAATCCAGAGGAAGCTTGACTAATAGCAAGAACCATGATTCATACACTGCTGTGGATCATAAAATCCCATGAAGTGAGCAGTGGGTCTCCATCGATTGTGTGACCTCTGTAGAATTAGTCATGGTGAGACTGGTTACAGGTTTTTATTTTTCCAATACACTGTATATGTTTATCAAATTTTTCCAAAACATAAAGGTTATACACCCAGGGAAACACATTTTATTGAATTAATTTCCCCCCACATCGTTCCCAAATAGGAACAAAATAAAATGGAATATGTTAGAATAATATTGGCAAGTTCGATACAAGTTATCTGGCTGGGTAGATATGGGGCAAGGTATCAGGGAAGACTCACAAGTTAATGTAGAAGGAAATATGAGTTTATAAACACAGATAATCCAGGTAAAAGCAGGGCCTACAGTAAAAAAATAAAAAAAAAAGCCAGTGTAGTATATGTGATTATGATATAAAGATGCTTAGTGATTGAAGGAAAACAAATTTGTCAAAAAGAGTAAAATAAAATAGCATTTGAGAGCATATATGTTAAGTGTTATTCACAAGTAGTGAGAAACCAATCCAAAGGGGTGATATGCCACCTCAGAAGAGCAGGGGTTCCCAATTAATTTTCCCCGTGGAACCCTTTGACATAGTGTATCAACATAGGGCCCCTTTCCCCCCCCTTAAAAAAAATAAAAATAAATTGTGATATTTTCTTTTTTTTTGGATGTGCCAGTGTGTGTCTGTGTGCTAAACAGGGGAGAGTGCTCCCTCGCCTCCATTATCGCGGCGGCAATTTTTTTCCCGCAAAATTGCAGTGGAACCCAGTATTATTTCCATGTGCCGGTGTGTGTATCTGTGTTTGTAAGTGCCTGTGTGTGTGTATATGCATCCGACACACAGATACACACACCGTGACACACAGATCAGTTCAGGTTTGTTAAACATTAACCGGTTTTGTTTACCTGGACTGCATCTTTGCCATTTCATCACTAGACAGATAATTTTGACTGACTGTCCAGGTGACCCTGCTTGGAGAACTCTGTGACCCCATGTAAAGTAACATTCTGCAATTTCTCTAATGTATGACTGCTTCTAATAGAGCTGGCAAGGTGGCTCATGGATTGAAGAAATGTCCCCAAGTTTTGTTCTGGCATTTTACTCTGTCACTGTACCATGGGGAACAAACGTACTTAAAGGCTTACTCTAAACACTATAACCACTATAGCCTGTTGCAGTGGTTATGATGGCACGAATATCCTGGTGCCATTGGCTGGTTATAGGGCAAACTTTTATAACTGTTTTCCATCTTACCTGCTTCTGCCTCTGTAGCCAAGTTTACAACAGCAGAGCTGCAGTAGCCAGAAGTTTTATTCTGGCACATTTATTGCCTGAGAGCGTCATCACAATATGTTCAGTACTACCATTAGCTAGCCTGGAACTCTTGTCTGGCTGATGACGCCCCAATTCCTCCACTAGCAAAAGGGTTAAACTCAGTATTTGCAGCCTTTCACAACAAAACACTGCACATACTCCAGGCACCATGACATCTTCAAATAACTGAAGTGCTTATGGTGTTTGTAGTAATCATTTAAGAAAGAGAAATTGTTCCATCTCTTTAAATCTGGGAATGCTTTCTGTGATAGTTGTGCATTGGAAATGCTTTTGCAGGCCCTAGCTGCAGGAAATATCGAGTGAAAAAGACTGCTGCCTGCATAGGTGGTTATTCACATCTTAGGTCCTTCACTGTGCTTGCTAAGCAATGGAACACAGCAGGTTGGGATATTAACATTGAGTAGGGCAAATAAAACACATTGGGGACCAAAAATCGAAATTGGACATTACATTGGAAAAGGTCCTTAAACTTGATATTCAGTTTGAATTCTCATTTTAGTGAACGTCCCTGTCTGATGTACCCAAATCAATTCAATACATCAGATATTACATGATAATTTACAGTAACAGATCCCCTCTGCATCACTGTACTAATAAGGTTACACAGATGTAATTACACACTGTTGGCTTTGGCACTGCATACCTGGGCTAGGCTGTGGGCAATGGGGCTAGTCACAGCCCAAACCAGCAGCTGTAGAAGCACAGTAACACAGTAACCTCTTCTAGATGTATCCATTACCAGCTCCGTGCTGTCCCTTTAACACGCTTTGTGTTGTCCCTTTAACAAGCTCTGTACTGTTCCTTTAACAAGCTATGAGCTGTCCCTTTACCAAGCTCCCTACTGTCCCTTTAACAAACTCTGTGCTGTCCCTTTAAGTAGCTGTCTGGCATGACTGTGTGTGTGTGCATCACGTCAGGCAGCTCGCATTCCTATTGGCTGAGACGGACACACCTCTGACGCACCTCTCCAGCAACATTCCACGAGTACGTCACCGCTGGGGGCGGAGCACAGGACTGGCTAAGCGACGTTCCATTGTCTGCTGGATACATTGTAACATGATCAGGGGAGAACGCAGCTCTGATATCTGACCAATCAGGAGCGCCCTGTGTCTGTCTATGTGACACACTGGGAGCTCTATTACAGAGCGATTATTATACATTTTATTATAGGGACTCCCATTCATCCCTACAATCTATACACAGACTTCATTTTATTTACCATCAAACAGTATTTATCACCCAGGACACAGGTAAGTGCATTTTATTAATCACTCTAATTGGAGTATATTTAATATTGAGTAAAGTTGGATATTGTGGAATTTCTTTTAAGTTAAAGGATGGAAGGACGTATGAAGGTGAGAATCTCTGCCCAGGTTTATATAGATTATGCATGGTGCAGCAGGTTCATGTAGATTAACTGCCCACGTGTTAGGTAAGACATGCTAGGCAGAGAGTCACTGGTTTATACGGTTATAGTTTTGTAGGACTTTCTTTTTTTAATATATATCTAGGTATTTATTTTGCACATAACCCATTTACACACATGAAGAGTTTGTATCCTTTTCATCTGCAAGGTCTGCTGGACCCAAGTGCAATAAACACTAATCCGTGAACATCATCAGAGTTCCAGTTTTAGGTAGGTGGCTAAACCAGACAGTTACTAGAAGTTGACAGTTTGAGGTACTGACATATTGCAGTTACTGGAGAAACCTCATATCACTCAGGGTGATCTGGGTTACAGGTCCAATGAAACAGTGTCATCCAAATGGCTGTCTGGATATCACAGCTGGACTTCCTAGAAGGTTTCCATCCCTGGGCTACTGGGTGATACTTACTAAACAGGGAATTACTTCGAGAAAATGTACATTTAACTGATCTGTAACAAAAAAAAAAAAAAAAAATAGTTGCACTGGAGATTGTATTTTAAATGGGCTATAACAGCCTAGATATTGCAAATAGTGATAGCCTTCTATTTAGAAGTAAGTACCCTTGCAGGTGGGATGCACCAAGCTGCCATAGCGATGGGGAAAAAAATAATTCATTCCGTTTCCAAGTTTCTCTGTAGGTAAATGAATGGCCACCAGTGATATAACTAGAATGAGGGTTAATCATTTTGTTTTTAATATTTTATTTAGTTTACACAATAACAACCAGTTTGGCTCACACAGAGTTAAGATGCAATCATTAGCAAATTAGAATAGGTCTCTGCTATATTATGTCCCTATTAATTTTGAGTCTCTATTCACTTTGTCCCCACGTCCACTCACATTCCCCTTACGTACAACCAAAAAGTGTCCCAGAAGCTTAGATTACATTGTTATTAGCATTAAGGAACCCTGGCAAATCTACATGTGCATGGTGCAATAGTATAATCACATAAATTAGTTTGTAAATAGTTATTATGGAAAAAATGAATTGCAAAATCTATCTAAAGACCATTTACACCTTGCAAGCTCATGGGTCAGAGGCCTCTTTACCTACGGTTCTTGTACGTCAAACTTATTTTTTGAGAATTATTAATTTTTCTTGGTATATGCTGGCACTATATAAATCATTGTAAATGTGTGTGGGGTTGTGTTTTTTTTATATATATATATTATAAATATTAAAGCATGTTATTAAGTTCTCCTGGAGCCCCTGCTCTAAAACATTCGACAAACAAAATAAATAAAGTTCTTTAGTGTAATCATGACAAGTGCCTGGATTGGCCTCCAAACAGCAGAGGTCCCCGAGATACATTGCAAGATAAATCATCTTTCTTACATAGGCTCCTTTTGTAATTAGTAAATAAATGAAATTGAAATATGATAATGAATTAGACTGTTTAGATATTGGTTTTTTTTTTTGTTTGTTTTGTTTTTTATTGATCTGCAGTCAGTTTTCATTTTTAGAAATTAATGCATTGACATATTAAAGGGTCACTATAGGCACCCAGGGCACTTCAGTTCATTGTCACAGGCCCCCTAACCCTGCAATTATAATTCTTGTTTTGTGAGAAACTGCAATAATTACCTTGCAGGGTTAACTCCACTTTTAGTGGCTGTCGACCAGCCAGCCAATAGAGAGACTTCCAGGTGTTCAGGCAACTTTTGGTCGCCTAACTGGTTGTGGACGTCCTCACGCTATGCATAAAGACACCCAGAGTCACTCAAAACTGCATAGGAAGGATTATACAATTATACAAAGCATTATGCAATGCTTTCTTATGGGGGAAGCCCAAATGCGATCGCGGCACTTGCATATTAGGTTTCCCCTTCCTGCGGGCTAACGCCGGAGGAGCTGAGGCGGCATCTGACCCAGCACTGAGGAACATCAGCGCTGGAATCAGGTAAGTGGGTTTTTAACCTCTTCAGCACTGCGATGGAGGGGGGCACCATAGGTTACTATAGTGTTAGGAAAACAACTTTTGTTTTCTTAGCACTATATTTTCCCCTTAAATAATGGACTGGGGCACCGCTGAAATTTTCGCTTTGTCTAAATATATTTGATGGAAAAAATGGAGTTTCATTTGAACCGAATTTCGTCTGTCTGTTCGGACGAAATTCAGACATTATTTACGTTTTGGAATTTCATGCAGATGAATCAAATTCCGATTCAGGCCGCAGCTGCAACTTTTTGCCGTTTGTTAGATCACTCCCTAAATTGTACCCTACCCTTGTGTGATTGCCATATTTAAAGGGACATTATAGGTGCCCAGACCACTTCAGCTCATTGAAGTGGCCTGGGTGCAGTGTCCCTGTCTTAGTCATGTAATGTAAATCATTCCCGTTTTTAAGAAACTGCAATAATTATTTTGCAGGATAAAGAGAGCCACTGGTGGCTGTCAATTAGACAGCCACTAAAGACACTTCCTGGTAGCTAATGGATTTTTTGTCCATGAGGACATCCAGCATCCGTAACATTAAAGCAATGCTTTCTTATAAAGAGGGCCTAATGCACTCACAGTGCTTGTTATACATGCATATTAGCTCCCCCGATGTTGGATTATGTCGGAGGAGGCGGAGTGCCGATCCAGTGCCAAGGAAGATCACTATTAACAGAGCAGGAGATAAATTCTAAATAAAACTGAATTTGCAATAAAGGAAGTTTAAACATTAGATGAGTCTTTACAGGACGTTTTTAGGAAGGCTATATGTCACATGCAGGGAGGTGTGATTAGGGCTGCATAAACAAAGTAATTTCACTTATAAATGGCAGAGAATCGAGCAGTGAGACTGCAGGGGCATGATCTATACACGAACACTGCTTCAGTAAGCTAAAGTTGTTTTGGTGACGATAGTGTCCCTTTAATTTTGGCTGTTGAGACAACACTAATACTAAGTAAAAAATGCTTAGTATTAGTAAATAAAGGAGGTTAAATCCTGCCTACTGCCTCTAACCGCTGTGCTGCTAGTATGGGGCATGTATACAAAACAGTGAGCAGCCACCGTTATTAAAAAAATAAAATAAAAAAGTGTAGTAACTGAGCAGCTATTGCTATCCAGTCACTAATCGTATAAAGAGGTAGCTGACACACTGTCCCCTCCCTGCGTTAATTATTTAAATAGGGCTCTACCACGTCGCTAAACGTTTTTTATGACAGCACGCATCCACTGGCTGCTCATTGTTTAGTAGACATGTCTCTACTCGTGGTATGGTAGGAAGGGACAGGAGGGAGTATTTAACTTTAGTTTGGGTTATCCCCATAGCTAGGCCTTCGGTATTTGTTTCATTTGTTATGATTTCTATTCATTCATTCGTCTTTCGGATGAATGGACGAATAGCAGAAATTTTCCCGAAAAACTGTTCGTCCGAGAATGAATGTCCAAATGTATTAAATAACAGCTTTACCAAGGTTTAAATAAGAGTTTTACTATGAAACTTTATCCTTTCTGTGTAGAAAACAATATATGGCATTTTTACTGCATACTCATTTATTTGGTAAATACAGTAATTTTTCTTTTTTGCTTGGGAAACTAGTTATTGCAAAGCCTGTTGTGTCAGTGCAAACTAAATCAATGTCACATCACCCGCGGTGTCATTGTTCTGAGCAATGTGAAGTTTTATTGTACGAGCACATGTTCTATAGAATTCCGTGCACACAGGGTGTCAAGGTCAGAATTCTACTAATAGGAAGCTGTAAGGACTGCCCCAGCAGGAATAACCCGGCCCATTCTTGCTGCATTCTTTGTAGGAGTGAGTGACAGCTAGAAGCAGATCAGAGTTCCCCGCTGTTATCCCCATTGACTAGTCGGCCCCTTTCGAGTTTAGTGAATGGGGATTTATCCTTTAATGAGATGAGCGAGACATTCGTTGTTTGAAGTGAGTGGAGTGCTTCTCTCCAACTGACGCTTTGATCTGAGTGGAGATTAGCTCTGCCATTCACTATTTAAGCTGTCCAGTGAGTTAGTTTTTAAATGACAGAGGGAATTGTGTAGTTTGTGATCTGCTAGCTGTTTTTTATTCTCACACAAGCTCAAGGTTACTTACACATGCAACAATTTGCCCCTGCTTGGCTTGTGGTAATAGTGGATGGCCAGAGACTCCGATTTGGTTGATAGAGGTCCACTGGACGCTATTAAATCATCGTTAAGGGATGAGAGGAGAAACATTGTTAAATCATCCCCTCAAGCATACAGGGTTTACTAACGTGAGACTTGTGCTTTTTAGTTTCAAACGCTTTGCTGTTTATCTGAATTGTGGGTGATACGTGGCTGTCCGAAATCCCCAACTTCGAAACACTATGTTGATGAAACAAACAAAACAGACATCAGACAAGCACGTTTTGTTTGATTTCTTATTCAGAATTCTGTCCGTAGTGCCAAAACAATTGGATAATTAATGGGAAAAAATATGAATGGTTGTTCGGGGACAGTCAGTAATTGTTGATTGAATGTTGACAGATCAAGTGAGAAGTGATCAGTAAAGCGAAAAAAGTAGGAGCAGTAAAAAATAAAAACCTGTATATATTTAATAAATGTTTTTTTTGTTTTTTTTTTACTTCTCCTCTTCTTTTTTTCCTCTATTGGTAATAAATTCTCACTAGATCTGTGAATGAAATGGGTCAAAATATGCGCCTATCAATGTACCGCAATATATACATACTATTTATATTTTGCAGTACACTGACAATTTTTGCACCCCTCCCAAATCATTTTCCAAGACAGTCACATGGAGGGAATTAGTCTGAACTGAAACATTATTAGACATGTGCAATTCGTTTTGGTCCGAATGAAAATTCGGCCGAATTTCGGGCAATTCGGACATTCGGCTGAATTGCCAAAGTGCTGAATTGTCGAAGTGCCGAAATTACTAAATTTCTGAAGTGTAGTAGTGCCGAAGTGCCGAATTGCTGAAGTGCCGAAGCACAGTATTGTCTAAGTACTAATGTTACATTGTATACAATTTTAAATAAAAAGTATATAAACATAGCCAGGATTCAGCTGTAAGCGTTTGCAACACTTACAACAATCAAGTAACACACATTCATATAAAATGTATGTTACTTAGCCAGTCATGTAATGACAGGAATGAATAAGTAGATAACCCCCTAATTCCCACGGTATTAGGGAGCTAGCTACTAAAAGGCTGAAAGACCTGAATTGGTCTTTCAGACAAATTTACTTATACTAAGTTACTTAGTATTAGTAAATTATGCCCCTACTCGCTATATCGTGAGTAGGGGCATGTCTATTAAACAGTAAGAAGGCTGTGGCTGCTCACTGTTTAAAAAAAAAAGGTCTGAGCGGCGGGTGGGGGCCCTAAAGTAAAAAAGGGGGGGAGGACCTATTGTCCTCCCCACCAGCAGGTGGGGGTCCTAAATACAAATTGGGGGGGACGGGACATAATGTCCTCCCCCCTGGCCCCCACCCCTGAGCAGTGGGTGGGGGGCCCTAAACAAGAATAAAGGGGGGGCCTAATGTCCTCCCCCCTGTCCCCCACCCCTGAGTGGCAGGTGGGGGCCTAAATACAAATTTAACCTCCCTCCCCCCAGGTGACTAAGGGTCCCCAAACCTCTAGTCACCCCCTCCCCCAAAAAATAAGCCCCTTCCTACTCCCCTTACCCTAAAAATAATGAGGGGGGGACCTTTAACTAAGTACCTGTAAAAATAAAAATAAACTTACCATTTGATGTTTTTTTTTTTCTTTCCAAAAAAGGCCAAATAAAAATCCATAATAACTGACGCAATAAAAAAAAAAAAAAACCTGAGCGCCCCCAAAAAAATCCATCTTCACCTGGCGAGGGCTCCGCGCAGACTGAGCTCTGCAGGGCGGGGGAAGGCTTATAAAGCCTTGCCCCACCCTGCAATTAGGCTCAAAGCACTCTGATTGACAGGTAAGTCTCTACATTTACCTGTCACAGCACTCTGATTGGTTGGTTTGAAATCCACCAATCAGAGTGCTCTGTGTCATTTTACACAGCGTATACCTTTTGAGGGTTAACTCCACCACTAGTGACTGTCTACCAGCCAGTAGAGGGACTTCCAAGTTGCTAGACGACTTTTGGTCACCTAATTGAGGCTGGACATCCTTGTGCTATGCATGAAGATATCCGGTGTTCTATCAGTCTGGTATACTCCGTCAGATTGCTATACCCACGTCACTTCCGGGGAGGGGAATCAGCTGTCTCCTGTGCTGCACATGCGTGCTAGCACTCCTGCTACTTCTCCACAGCAAGGTCCTGGAAGTTAAGTAAAACTAGTTTTACACTTTCATTATAGTTAGTGCATTCACTAAGCTTAGGCACACGGGACATTTAGGGTTAAGTGAGGGTACAAATTAGGGTTAGGTAAGTGCTTCTAACCTCTCTCACATTCTATTCTTACCCTAACCCTTGGGGTAAGGGTTAAAATAAAGTGTGAGAAATCACTATTTAGTGATATTCCCCTAATGTGAAATATCACTAAATAGGAACAAGTCCCTAATCCTAACCCTAATTTGAACCCTAACATTAACCCTAAATGTCCCATGTCCTAAGCTTAGTGAATGCACTAACTATAATGAAAGTGTAAAACTAGTTTTACTTACCTTCCAGGACCTTGCTGTGGAGGAGTAGCAGGAGTGCTAGCACGCATGTGCAGCACAGGAGACAGCTGATTCCGCTCCCCGGAAGTGACGTGGGTATACCAAACTGATAGAACACCGGCATCACCCGAAATCCCATAGGAAAGCATTGTATAATGCTTTCCTATGAGGAAGTAGTAATGCGAGCATGGCCATTGACACGCATGGGCATTAGGTCTCCCTCGCCGGCTGATGGCGGTGGGGGAGGAGTGGAGACAGAGGCCGAGCCAGTGCAGAGGGATGGACAAGTTTGTTTTCCTGGCACTATAGTTTCCCTTTATTAGCTTAAGCGGAACAATTCACCAAGACAATTATGTTCTCAGTTTGGCTATTTTAGTCTTAAATTTGAAATTCTCAGTGAATTCTCAGCAATGCTTACTTTAGTGAAAAATCGTGTCAGAGCTCTCAGTAGGGGCTTTAGAACTCCTGGGGGGCGGAACCTGACTGGCAAGCGGATCAGATGCATACATACTATGCGAACTCCTGAACAATGCATGCATAATAAGCTTTTATAGCTGCCAACTTGCACAGTTTAACGCATAGTGGAGACCCTCGTGATTAGTTTGGTAGCAGACTCTGTGCTTTTCTGGTCCTGAATACCTATTCTTTACTTCTTGTGGCCTTCAAACTTGACAAGCGTTGGACGACATATCCTGATACCGCAAATGGATTTCTGCACTACCCCCACCCTTTGAACCGGTGGTGGTCATCCCTGTCCCTGGAGATCTGCCATCGCTACAGCTGACGCCTTGAGTTGCTGTGCGCAGGGACCCCACGTGGCTCCTAAGATGGTGCTGGTCACTACAGAAGGCCGAGAGCCATATCACAACAACACTGGCTAAGCTGGAACTCATCTTTTTAAGATTCTGGGCTACTATTGAGGCAACTGAGTGATCTGAAGGCTCAGTGGCATGCTTTGGGTATATTGGCACAACCTATCTACCTGCATCAGTCCACTTCTTTCTCAAGGCCTCCTGGTGACCTGACAGGCCAGAGAGCCCCTCTTCCTACTCTGTGGATGCCGAGGGCACATGGCACTATCAATCTCGTGGAGCCTCCAGCAGTGTGGAGCCTAGCTCGGAGTTCTGAGACACCTATCCTTCTGACCCCACAAGCGGGCGACTGCTGTTCCAGTGGGGATCTATGGAACTCAAATGCAGGCTTCTCGTCAACACTCCTACACTATGCATACCTACCTACAAAGGATATTCTCTCGGGAGCCCAACAGTCTACTTACAAGTGGGATGCCAGTGCTCAAGCCTCCTCCTGGCTTAAATCCCTTGCAATAGACTCCTGTATTTTATTTGCATTCAGTTTTTGTTGATATCTCAGCCTACATTTTATTTTTCTCAGAGCAAGATAGTCTAGCATGTATAACACTAATCATACCCACTCATATCTCAGTTGATATCCTATCGGCAAGTTAGCCTTCTCTAAAGATACCTTGCATATTTGCTCTAGCATATAACTTGTCTTAAACCAAGAGGTGTTTCTTATGCCAGTCTTTTTTCTTTAAAATATATTGTCACTTAGTGTAACGTGACTTCTCTGTAACCTCTTTACTGACTTGTCATTCATGCCTCCTGAATCTGAGGTTTTTTCCTCTATAATTGCAAGATTCCACCAAGGTCCATAGTTTGACTAATGAGCCTATTATGTTGTCACTTCGTTTAATGTTTCTATTATTTTCTACTTTAATTTAAAAAAAAAAAAAAAAGTGCAGTATGTAGTATGACATTTCCTGATCTGTTTATATCCCTTACTGTTGTTTATATGCTTGTGAAATGTCACAGTACTTCTGACTGTAACGCGATGCATGATTTAAATAAAGTAAGAACTGTTGGGCGTTCAAAGTGAATTCAAATGTAAGGCCATGTAGCCAAACTGGAAGCCTAGCAGATTTGGATATTTTTTTTTTTTTTTTTTATCTGGCTACTTTGGCCCTAAATCTGAAATTCACTTTGCATTTCTGACAGTTCTCACTTTATACATGTTTACAAGGCTTGCAGCGATGGTAATGGGTAAACCACAGATAATGTGCGTTGTATGATTGTACCCAAACATGGGTTGCAGAACCATTTAACCAACAATAAAATAACTTTTTGGGATGGCTGGGTATCGGTTAAGAATTTTGGTAACAAACAAATGATAATGGGCCAATCCGTGTACTGCATTATGTACACATAATATAAATGTTATCCCCTTAATTTGGTTCACAGATCAAATGAGGAGAAACAGAGGGGGAAAAAAGGTGGGTCAGTAAAAAAAAATAAATAAAAATCTCTAAATATAGCATATTTATTAAACCATTGCTTAGCCGACCTCATAGAATGGTTGCATGCTAGTTGATCAACCCGGACAAAACAGAGTTACTTTTGGTGAGGGGACCCTGAGTAACAAAAATACCCCATGATCACCTAACTGGCCTGGAGCTTGAAGGCTCTGAACTCATCAGTCCATCAAAGGTACGAAACCTCGGAGTTCTGATTGACTCTGGACTATCATTAAGACAGCAGAATTCTTCCGTAATATAATCTGCCTACTTTTATATGAAAAACATAGCCAGGATACAAACCTTAATTGATGATATGCCAACATTAATCCATACATTTGTATCCTCTTGGTTAGATTACTGCAATGTACTTTACTTGGGCCTCCCCGAAAAAAAAGAGCTCCATCGCCTTCGGATAGTACAAAATGCAGCAGCCAGACTACTGACCAATCAAACTTGCTCCTGCCACATAACACCTGTTCTCCTCTCCCTGTACTGGGTTCCAATAAAATGGTGTGAACATATTTTAAAATTGACCTGCTGACCTTCAAAGCCTTAAACAATCAAGGCCCACCGTACCTGGAAGAGTTCCTGACACCCTACATTCCATCCCGTTCACTTCGTTCAGCCAGCAAATCCCTCCTGTCCATACCAAGAATAAAGACAGATTCAGGTTCCAGGGCTTTCAGCCATGCTGCCCCTAGCTTCTGGAACTCTTTACCGAGGTCAGAGAGCAACCGTCCTTACAGACTTTTAAAAAAAGCTAAAGGCCCACCTCTTCTTGAATTTCAATCCGCTCATCTGACCATCAGAAACTCCTAACTTTTAATTCTTTTATGTTACTATATTTGTAAAATGCTTTGCGTCTCACAGGTAGAAAAGCGCAATAAAAATGGCAAATTATTATTACATAATAAACAAATCTAAATTAGTTGTTACATCTCTGATCAAGTAAGCAATATGTGCTTATTCAGCAGGGCATGTAACCAGCGTGCTCTTCCAACTTCAATGGCCAGGGCAGGAATTTTTATTAATAAATGTATTCTGTTCGATAAGGAATAATTACATAATCTATTTCTGGTTACTGTGATGAATCATATGTGAAAAATGGGTGTTGCCGCTCAATAGCTAATATTTCTGTATAACTGGATGTGTCAGTACAATGACAAACTGCTTACATTATTCAGATCATTACATCTAATGAGAAAACTAATCACTGCAGCCTGAACCGATACGCATGACTCTCTCTCTCTTCCGCGAAATGTATGTCTGATCCCTTTGTGGAAATGCTATTGTTTTATTTTTTATGTTTCATCACTGTTACATGGTTTTTACAAGAAAGTATTGCAGCTTTTCCATGTTTTTGTATGTCTGCTTTGAATTGTAAAAGCAAGTTTAACATCAGGAAGATCTTGCGGTTCATTATCTGACTTTTTAGTGCTTGTTTTATGGTTTACTGTTCAATAAAACAATAACGCTATAAACACTATAAACATAGCTTTATAGGAAGCCAGTATGCACTCCTTAAACCCTGAGAAAAATTAATATACAAGTGCACATTTTAATATACAAGACACATTTATGAACATAAAGCAGGGAAATAATTAAAACTCTATAAAATTGCGAATATAACTTGATTGAGATATTTGTTGTGATTCTTCTGGTATCGTCCCAAAATTTACGTAGAATGTAAATATGTCAACTGTGTGTGCCACCTATTATATTTATATGTTTAAATAGGAATTAATACGTGTGATCATGTGTGTGTGTGTGTTCTAGCATCCAATGTCCTAATTTTTCCCTGATGGTCAAAAAAATAACACTCACCCACCTTTCATGTTCCTGCATTACTGTAAATTCCCAGGCTGAGCATTATTATTATTATTATTATTATTATTATTATTATTATTTTATTATTATTTATATAGCATCAAACACTCCAGTAGCCCTTTGAACAGCGCAGATAAGAGAATGGGCCTTGACAGGGTCAGAGAGTAGGCATTTAAGTTTAATATAATTCTGGGTGGGAGTTTAGTAATTGTGGTTGTGGGGGGTGGAGACTAAGGGGATATAGAGCGGCCATCTTAGCAAGTGGCAGTGGCGGATCCGTGGGGGGGGGCAACAGGGCAATTCCCGATAAAACCGAGGGTCTCCCTCTCCCCTGCCAGCACATTTAGGCGCCAGCCCTGCAATGTGCCTTCATGGACCGGAGGGGAGATCAGAGATCTCCCTCCCCGGTCCGCAGGCACATTGCGGGCAGCTGGCAGCGGAGGGAGGGAGAGAGGACCCGGGAGCTCAGCCTGCAGCTCCTCCGGGTCCTTCTCTCGCGAGCACGGAGCGCTGCCACGGTTACCACGGCAATGCTCCAAATCTCGCGAGAGTGAACTCTAGCCCTGGAGCTACGGGCTAGAGTTTATTCTCACCATTGGGCCACCAGGGAATCCCCACCGGACCACCAGGGATTGAGAAATGTCCCCTCTCCTCTCTCAGTAAAGGTAAGAAGGGAGTGGGGACATAATGTATATTTATTTTAATTAAATAAAACAACAACACACATATTATTTACAAAAAAAAAAAAAAAGCCCCCCTACCCTTATTATCACACACATACATTCCCCCCATACACATACACTGCCCCCCATACACACACACTCTACACACATACACTACCCCCATACACACACACTGCCCCATACACATACACACTGCCCCCCATCCACACACACTGCCCCCATACACACACATTGCCCACACTCACACATACACTGCAATCCTCACACACACACTGTAACTGTTATACACACACATACTGTCCCACACATACACTGCATCCCTGACATACAGTGCCGCCCTCACTCACACACTAAAACCCTCACACACACACACACACACACCGCACCCCTTACACATTGCACCACTCACACACACCACTGCTCCTATGCTCTACTACAGCCCCATTTCCCAGCAGACCTCAGGTAAGTTGTCAAACTGTTCTTAAACGGTTTAGCTACTTACTGTGGGAGGGGGTTCCGGCACTATTGACACCATAACCACTACACTGAGCTGTAGTGCTTATTGTGTCTGGATTATTTCTTTAAATAATCTACAAGTGCCCCTCCCGAGATCAGGCTCTGGATCCGCCACTGGCAAGTGGCCATTTTAATTGCAGCCTTCACGTACCTGTTAGTTGTCCCACCCACCCTCCCTGTGGTTTAACTGTAGTTTTCCCGTTTGGTCACAGCGGCGGGGAAGGGCTAGGTTAAATGGGAAGTAGGTGGAGTATGAAGTGGTCATGGCAAGGTTTAGGCTGGATTAGTCAGGAGTGTTACATTTGATTGGAAGGTTCAAGCTCATCGGTAGCTCCGAATCTGGGGGTGTAGGGGTGTCTCGGTACACCCCTACAGTTAAAGCATTTGGATATGGGCCTCTTTGGTAGGCCGTGTTTTATGTTATGTTATTTATACTGTTATACATTGTTATATTGGTATGGGGTCATTGCCAAGGGTATTTAGGTACGGAGGGAGATTGTATTAAAATATAATTTTTATTTGGCAATGACCCTAATTTTGTTAACTTTATGATAATAGCTGTGGACTATATAGCTGGTGTCTGTCTTATTAAAGGGAGTTTTGTGTGGGTTATGGCACATGCTGAATAACTACTGTGCGCATGTAAAGGCTCCTAAACGCTGTGTAAGTTAGGTTACAGTTAGTTATACTGGGTGGGTTTATATTATTAAAGGGACACTCCAGGCTCCCACACACGTTAGATGCACTGTGTAGGTTAGGTTACAGTTAGTTATACTGGGTGGGTTTATATTATTAAAGGGACACTCCAGGCTCCCACACACGTTAGATGCACTGTGTAGGTTAGGTTACAGTTAGTTATACTGGGTGGGTTTATATTATTAAAGGGACACTCCAGGCTCCCACACATGTTAGGTGCACTGTGTAGGTTAGGTTACAGTTAGTTATACTGGGTGGGTTTATATTATTAAAGGGACACTCCAGGCTCCCACACACGTTAGGTGCACTGTGTAGGTTAGGTTACAGTTAGTTATACTGGGTGGGTTTATATTATTAAAGGGACACTCCAGGTTCCCACACACGTTAGATGCACAATATAAGTTAGGTTATAGTTAGGCGGAGTAAACCTGAATTAACTTCTATTTTAATATAGAGGGGGAGTGATAATATAATTGAAAAATGAACACCCCAATATTACAAAATACAAACATTGCAGTGTTCCTTTAACTTTTGGGTGACCTTTTCAGCTAATAACATAAATGTTGGTTGAAGATTTTCTGAAGAACTCTAGATATTCCAGTTTTCTATGTTTTTGTTTTGTTGTGTCGTACACCATTACATGTGTTTTCTATACAGTGTCCCATGTATGACATTGCATTTCTGTAAAACCCTGTAATCAGAATGACTCAGACAGCACAGATGCAGTTTCAAGGCCAGAGCTTGAGTAGCCTTTTAAAACTTTCTCAACCAGCTCCAGCTGGATTAACATAGTCTAATGGAGCTGCAGCTCCAGGCCTGCGGGATAAGCCCACGGATCCAAAAAAAGGGGAAACAAGTCCATGCTATTCCTCAATGCTCTTGTTCACGTTCCATTTCCTCATGTTTTAAACAGCAACTCTTCCTTTTTCAGTGTCTGAGTTTTCAGCTGATATTAACGATCAGCTCCTTCAATATGTTGCCACGGTTACTCACTTGATAGTAGTAACCAGCCCTGCTGCTAATCAGTTCAGCCTATTTAACCCCTTAAGGACACAGCTTCAGAAGCTTGACTTACGCTTAATGACACAAGCAATTTTTGCATTTTCTTGCTGTTTGCGTTCAACTGCAATTTGCATCTCTCTCATTTATTGCACCGACACATATTATATACTGTTTTTTAAAGGACAGAAAGGGCTTTAATTTGATATAACATATATATATATAAATGCTTACTTATTATAAAAAAATACAGAAAAATGCAAAAAAAATGAAAAATGTTTTTTTTTTTACAGTTTTTGCAATAATAATGTGTGCATAATTAGTGCAGGTTAAGGAAAGTAATTAAAAATAAATTTATTTATTTGTTCTGATTTACAGAATATATAATGTGTCTGGGATTTTAAGTTTTTTTTGGTAGTTACAGGTCACAAAGCACAAGGAGTAAAATAAACTTTTAATGTGGAGCGATTTTAGAATTTGGTATGTTTGTCTTGTAAGCTTAATAGCCATAAAAGAAAACAAAATTGCCACACAAAAGTATATATTTATATAAAGTAGACATCACGGGCTATTTACCTAAGGTTGTTTTGACACTTTCTACGTAGCCATTTCACCGCCAACCTCTGCTAAATATTGGAGTAAAATTGTGTTCTTTTTGGTTTTTGGCACACAAACTTATAACAGAGAAATTCTCGTGTATATTTTGTAAAGTTGGTGTGTGCTATTCCTGTACAAAGTTTTATTTTGTGTTCAGTTACATCTGCTGAGTAAAATGACACCCCCATTGTATGTCTTTTGCACTATTTCGTGAAGTTACAGTGCCATACAGGATACCTGTCCTTTTCAGTATTCACAGTAGAATTTTGAGAAATGGATTTAATGAGCCTTAGCTTCCATTTTGGGGTATTATAACAGTTTGGCTGTTCAAAAAACCCCCACAAAGGCCTACCATTTGTAAAAGTAGACACTCCAGGGTATCTTATAAGGTGCATATTGTGCCTTAACATGCCCCCATTTTTTCACCAATATATGCCAAAGTATGTGGTAAAAAATAATTTTGTGCATTTTTTACATACGGATTGCATTTTTGCTGGGCGTTTTGTATATTTCATATGTGCCACTAAGTTCAAACCCCCAAATTATGCTCAGCTAAGTCTTCTGAGTAAAATGACACCCCATATGAATGTCTTTGGCACTATTTCGTGAAGCTACAGTGCCATATAGGAGACCAAGCCATATCCGTTTTTACCAAACTTTGAATTTTGACGCTGGGCCTATGTGCAATTTCCAAGCATCTTCACAGGTTTTAAATTCAAACTACCCCACAAAGGCCTACCATTTCTTAAAGTAGACACCCCAGGGTGTTTCAAAAGGTATAGTTTGAACCTTAGCGTGGGATCATTTTTCCGCTAGCTTGTACCAGATGTAGTGGTAATAAGCGTTTTTTCTGCCTTTTTGACATACAAAGTGAGTTTGCACAGTATATTTTGCAAACCTTATGTGTGCTACGACTGTATAATACTTCATATGTTGCTCAGCTATGTCGGCTGAGTACAGCAATACCCCCGTATGTACCTTTGCCAGGTATGTGTGGACATCGGAGGGGCACATTTGGGACACAGCCATTCCAGTTTTTTTCAAACTTTGAATTTTTATGCTGTGCCTATGTCCCATTTTAGAGTATTTTACCAGGCTATATAATCCAAATTCCCCATAAAGCCATGCCATTTCTTAAAGAAGACATCCCAGGGTATTTCAAAAGGCATATTTTGAACCTTAGCGTGGGATCATTTTTCCGCTAGCTTGTACCAAGTGTAGTGGTAATAAGCATTTTTTCTGCCTTTTTGACATACAAAGTGAGTTTGCGCAGCATATTTTGCAAACCTTATGTGTGCTATGACTGTATAATACTTCATATGTTGCTCAGCTATGTCGGCTGAGTACAGCAATACCCCCGTATGTACCTTTGCCAGGTATATGTGGATGTTGAAGGGGCGCATTTGAGACGCAGCCATTCAGTTTTTTTCTAACTTTGAAGTTTTACGCTGTGTCCATGTTCCAATTTGGAGTAGTTTAGACGGTTGGTTATTGAAACTTCCCCACAAACACATACTATTTATTAAAGAATACACCCTGGGGTAATTCAAAAGGCATATTTTGAACCTTGGTGTGGGATAATTTTTTCTCTAGTTTGTTCCAGGTGTAGTGGTAATGAGCGTTTTTAAAATGTATTTTTTTACTTTTTATAACTTTTTTACTTTTAAAAACTAGTTTTTAAACTTTTGTTTTGCTTATAAATTTTTTTTAAACTTTCCTAAACTTTCTTAAAACTTTTTTACAGATTTAACATTTTTCTAAGCTTTTTTTTTTACCGTTAACCCCTAACTAGCAGTACGCAGCACTAACAGTAAATTCCCCATTTTCCCATAACTCCCACCCACCCCAGCTAGCAAAATATATAGTTATAAAATATTTTAAATTAATTAATTAAATAAATTGAACCCCTGAGGGTTAAAAAAATAAATAAAAGTTAATCCTCAGGGGTTAAAAAAAATTAGATCACAGTATAATACTGTGATCTCTATTTGATCGCTGTAGGCAGTGATCGACTGGCAGGGAAGGGGTTAATTTTTATTTGGACTAGGTAAAGTGTGTTTTTTTTGTTTTTTTTTACTTAAATGTTATTAAAACATTTTTTTAAGCTTAATTTTTAACTTTTTAAAGTTTCTTTTAAAACTTTTTTTAACGTTAACCCCTAGTTAGCCTAACTCCAAATCCCCCAATTCCCCACTAACTTCCACCCACCCCAGCTATCTAAATACATAATTAAAAAATAATTTAATTAATTTAATTAATTTACCCCCTGAGGGTTAAAAAAAAAAAAAGAATTAACCCTCAGGGGTTAAAAAAAAAAATCAGATCATAGTAAAATGTAATCCCTGCCAATTGATCACTGTAGTCAGTGATCAATTGGCAGGGAAGGGGTTAATTTTTTATTAAAATGGGTAAGGGGGGACTTTAAATAAACTTTATTTTTTTAAACAGCAGGGGGCAGGATCAGCACTGATCCGGCTCCCTGCACTTCACACAGAACCCGGAAGTGCAGGGAGCCGGTAGGTGAGTATAGAGAGCACATGTGCTCGCTCAGACTTGCGGTCAGAGCGAGCACATGTGCTGGGCAGACTGACCGGGTGCTCCCGGTATGCCTCTAATGCAGAGGCATACTGGGAGCACCATTAACCCCGCGATCGCCGCGATAGCGGCGATCCGGGGTTAATTTTACCGCGTGACGGACGAGGTCCGTCACCCGTCGTTAAGGGTCTCCCCTGTGTGACGGACCTCGTCCGTCACCCGTCCTGAAGGGGTTAAGCAGCTAATCCCAGTACCTCCTTGCCCTGTCCCCCAGAAGTCTCCTTGTTCCTGTGTTTGGACACTCATATAGATGCAAACATTGACACACACAGATACAGAGGGGCACACACTGATACACATATAGACCGACAGATACACACCTACAGACACAAAGCTACACATATACAAACACACAGAAACACAAATACAGACAGATACACACATTGAAAATATACATTTGTAGTCACCCTCCCTGCAGCATTGCCTCCACCAGTTCCATGACATTCAGGAGTTATGGCTGTTCTAGCGCTTTCTATGTTTACTCATCCTATATACAACTGACCGGACTAAATACATAACCACAAACATAAACACCGGTATAAAAGCAGTTGCTTACCCCAAGTCCTTGTAGATGAAACGCCAAGCAAGAAAGTTCGTTTTGTGAGAACACTTCAACAAAGTAACGTAGAAAACCTTTAATTGGCACTTGAAGAAATACAAAAACATTCAGAAATTGTCTCTTCCTGTCAGAAATATTTCATAAATATGTAATCAAGTGCCATATCACATTGTAAAAAAAAGTTATACTTTTTAAAGAAGCTTTATTTGTGGCATCGAGACAATTACAGCAGTATAAGAAGGTAAATAAGTAACGCAGGAGACGCGCAGGTCTCTCAAACCTATAACAATGTTACCAAGCTCAATACAATTGAGTGACTTTGTTATCTCTTCCTTTTCCTCCCTTTCCTTTTTTTTTTTTTTTTGTAAATCAGGGTTTCATTAAGGCACAAGTGGATACATGACTCTTGACCATATGTGTGATAACATGAGTAAGACGCGCAGTTCTCAGTACTAAACGGTTGCATAACACAATTCAGGCATCGTCACTTAGTTAAGAAGTAATATGTTAACAGTGAGCTTTAAAGGTTTCGTGTTAGAGTTGGTGTATGGAACCTCGAAGGACTGTAGAAAGGGTAGGGTGGAATAAGTAAAATAGAAGGATGGGGGGGAGCTATATATCTGTTGTTATATACATTGTGGGGACATCTTACTGGTGTGAGTGTCTTTGTGCGGGTTATTGCAGTATATCATCACAGGCATGTGACCCATAAGTTTCAGGTTCTTTCTAGAAAGGGTGATTCACTTACAATTGGGGCCTGCTTACTCTGTTGCTTGCTTTGTTGATTCTTCTTAGTTTGTTATCCCCTGTGAATAGGTATGTATGAGGGAATGGTGGTGTATCTTTTTCCCTGGACGTCACCAGTGAATGTGACAGTATTTTTGTGCTGGCAGGGGACTCACAAGTAGGTTACAAGCAGACAACCATGTCATTTAGGGTGGACTTGGAGGTCCAAACTGGGGGGGAGGGGCAGAATGGTCCCAGTATACAAAACAGTCAGCTGTACAAACTGTAGTTTCCATAATGCGGAGGGGATACAGGCGTTATATTCAATGTAGGAAGGTGGTAATAGAGACCGGGTCATGGGCGTCTCGCGTCTCCAGTGTGCGTTTTGGAGACTTCCAGACCTCAAGAGGCCAACAAAGGGACCCTATTGGAAAAGTATAGATCCTACAGAGTTAGTGCTCTGTGACTTTAGGTGTGCGGAGTAGCCGTCGGTCGCCATTTCTGTGAGAGGCTCATCTAGATGCCCGTCTGTCTGGATGGGGGGCATGTGAATGGGCATCCAGAGTTCAGGTCAGAGGGTGAGGCTGAAGAGAGGAAGGAGTATCAGAGAGAGCTGGGTCGGGGGGCGAGACCAAGAGCCAGTCCACCTGCCGGAAGTTTGTATGTCTCGATTGTTATTGCAAATCAGAGGTGACCCGTGCAGGGGGTGTCCCGCTATCGGGGAAGGATTTTCCAAGTCTCCCCCTATTACAGTGTGTCCCCTCCATCCCCCGTCCCCTGCCCCGCCATGTAAGCCGGCCACGGCCACCATCTCTCCACATGCCTCTCCTCAGTTCATAGTAGCGATGCCTGCACCAACTCTGCATTGTATATCTCCTCTACTCTTTCTACCATTGAACCGTTGTGGGGGTCGTGTCTTGCTTTCAGTGTAATGGGATCAGGACCTTAGCATTCAGGAGATGTTGGAGGATAGATTTTCTGTAGACCCAAATGGTGGTTGGTGGGGAGTGCAGACAGGCCATTTCCATGGCAAACCATCCTGTGTCGCTGAGGGTTTCACCATTTCCCAGAAGAGTGCCATGCATTGGCATTCCCAACAGATATGTGTTATCGTTTCCAGGCCCACTCCGCATCTCCAACACAAATTAGGCACATCTGGGAAGATTCTGTGTAGGCTATCGGGTGTCCTGTACAAAAATGCCAAAAATGTAAAGTTGGCCTCCTAGAACTTGGAGCTCGAGGAGCATTTGTGGTGTAGAATCAGTATCTTTTCTCATTGGGCGTCAGTGAATGATTTGGCAAGTATCCAAAAAATATATTTCATTTGTGTGTATCGGAATATTTGCAGACTCCGTTAGCTCCTGTAAGGGTTTCATACCCGCATTGTGTAATATCCTGTGCATAAGGAGAAAGTCTTCCCCGCCGAGGAGGTCCCAGGTCTCTGGTGGCAGTCCCCCTCCTATCTCAGGATTGTGTTGTTTCTGGATCAGCGGGCTTGGTTTTGGAGACAAATGGGAAGCCCCCCTGATGTTATCCCAGGTCTTCAACATTTGAGCCACTGCAGAAGTGGAATCTAGGGTCCTTGATGCAGACTTTCCTGAGTTCCATATGGCCGGGAGAAGAGATGGGTGCAAATGACCCTTGTTGAGTACAATCCACTGTTTGTGCATTGGGTGGGTATGCCATTCCAGTACCCTCTGTAGAAGGGTTGCATGGTGATTTTTGCGCAGATCAGAGCGTGCCAGGCTGCTCCAGGCCCGTGGAAGGCATAGTAGGTCATGGTGGAGTCGGGCCTGACTTCCGTCTCATACATAGTGGAGCAAGAGGAAGAGAAGAAGGCCGTTGGTAGGGCAAGGGGAATTGTTTGGTAGAGGAATAGTACCCTAGGTAGTATTTTCATCTTCCGTATTGCAATTCTGCCGAACCATGATATGTATAGGGGTAGGACCATTTCTTCAGGTCTTGTTGTATACGTTGGAGGAGGGGTAGGAAATTTGCCTGGTATAAGGCTCCCAGATCGGCGGTGAGAACCGTTCCCAGGTATCGCATGTGGGATGTGCACCATCGGAATGGAAACCAGTGTTTCAGGGCATCGGTGTCAGCCACTGGTACTGTGAGGTTGAGCACTTCACGTTTTGACATATTCAGTTTGAAGCCGGAGAGTGTGGTCTCCGGATCGTTAATGAAAAACAGGAGGTCATCCACATAGGCAGCGACTTTGTGTGTTGTGGACTTGTAAAACCATGCACCTTTGCACTGCCTCCAGAAACAATTCATGGGTGAGCATGGAATCCCATGGCTAACCTTTGGATGCACTATTCAGCAAGTCCATTTTCATAGACGTATATGGCTCTCTTAGATCTTAAAGGAACAAAGAGGGGATCTGCCCTGTACAGGAGAGTCTGGATTTAGGCATTACATTAAATAGACTTTTTTTGAGAAGGTGGATGCTCTTTCTTGGATAATACTCAATCAGGATTACCTCACTTGTTTCAGCAACAGCACCCAGAATTCTACAGGATACTACAGGCACACGGAGACCTTTCTCCAACTCTGAGGCTGAATCTTATGGACCTGCGTGGGGCAAACTAACAGAGGGGTTGTTATAATTCTATTGTCTGGTACTGGCACCATACTTTGTATTTGGCATGGACATAAAAAATAAAAAATACAAAAGGCCTGTCTAAACTCAATAACATGGCACGCTCTCCTTTCAACCGAGACCATCCTAGCTGCCATAATTATTTACTCTGAGCAAAATAGTTTTTCATGATGGCAAACACTCCTGAAGCTATGACTGCACCTTGCTGTGGAGAGGGATCTATGAGATATTGCCATACTATTCATTTTTAAATGGAGTCCCTGATATTGGACTATGAAGTTGTCCTATAGGCATGTTGAGGACATATGAGTAATTGGGACATGCATGGGCTAACCATAACAGCTCTTACTTTATGCTGAATCCAATTTGTCTTCTAAGGTCCTCCTAAATAGACTTTTACAGTGAGCTCTGTCCAAATCAGAAAGTGACTGCCAATCTCTGCAGCACACCCCACAGATACTTGTGTGATGCGTGAGAAGGTGCCTCTGTGACAAAAATTGATGGTGGATGCTTTGCATTTTTGGCAATCTTGGTCTTTACCATGAGACAACGTCTCAATGTTTCTTATCTCTTTTGACCGAGTTGGGATTTCAATGAAACTTTCTCTTTATTTAATACTCAGTGTTCAGAAGTGACCAAGGCATTTTGACGTGTGCGCTAAGCTCTGGCTGTGCCGTTTGCTATCTGATGCTAAAATCTCACAAGTGGCACATTATAGTATCAGGATATTAATGTCACACTGTAGATGCACATGACTTGCGACGTAGACTGTAACAAAACTGATTCCAAAAAATAATGAGCAAAAAAAATGCACTCCAAGCAGTTTTATATTCTATATATTTTGTTTTTTTTTTCATTTTTTTTGTTTTGTTTTTTTTGTGTGGTTTTCCTGTGATAACAAGGTATTTGAAGGAGTTTCAGTGATTGGTCTGATTCTCTGTACCTGGGGTTCTACACCTGGGGTTGCACCTGGCAGTAGCCCCTGGTATTTGTCACAAGCAATGTATCTGGATCAGCTGCCTACAGACAGGCTCTGCCAGAAGAACTCGAGGTTGTGGGATGTGATGTACTGTGCCTTCTCGTCCCCTCCCACCCCCCTGACGTAGGGGCCAACTCCTACCCTGCTCACAGTGTGTGATTGGCAGAGTTTGGAGGATGTGTCCTATATAAAGCATGCACACGGTTAATTTGGCTAAAACTGCAACAGAGCAAGTGAGGTGAGTGAGTTCATTATATCATGAGATGTGTGTGTTGTATAATGTGTGTGTGTGTAAAAGTGATGTATAATGTGTGTGTGTGTGTGTGTGTAAATGTGATGTATAATTGTGTGTGTGTGTGAATAAATAGTTTTTTGTTTTTTTGTGTATAGCATTGCTGGTCATGAACTTTCTCCCTTTTAACCAGATTATTCCTTTTTTAACCCGATTACCCCTTTAAATATTACTTCTTTAAACTGACCAGCGGTGCTGTTAATGTAGATTTCACTATACATTTTCTATGTGTGCTGAGCCTGCAGAATATCACTCCCCACATCTTTAGGGCTTTTTTTTCACGAAACACTAAATGCTGGTGAATGGAGAACCACATTGCAAATATTAGAACCGAATCCTGGCTTTGGGAAAATTCTCAAACGCCGCTCTAGTCCCAGCGAAGGTACTTTAATCTAAATTCTGCGATTTGGTGCGACCCTTTCAATGTATAGCGCTTCCTCTTTAATGTGTGTCCCCTGCAAGGCTGGAGTAACAATGTGCAGTCACCATAAATGATAGGGAGAAGGAAGGGGGATTCGGTGGATATTCTGCTCTGTCTGGCACTGGAAGGGTTATCTCACAATGTGCAGTCACCATAAATGATAGGGAGAAGGAAGGGGGATTCGGTGGATATTCTGCTCTGTCTGGCACTGGAAGGGTTATCTCACAATGTGCAGTCACCATAAATGATAGGGAGAAGGAAGGGGGATTCGGTGGATATTCTGCTCTGTCTGGCACTGGAAGGGTTATCTCACAATGTGCAGTCACCATAAATGATAGGGAGAAGGAAGGGGGATTCGGTGGATATTCTGCTCTGTCTGGCACTGGAAGGGTTATCTCACAATGTGCAGTCACCATAAATGATAGGGAGAAGGAAGGGGGATTCGGTGGATATTCTGCTCTGTCTGGCACTGGAAGGGTTATCTCACAATGTGCAGTCACCATAAATGATAGGGAGAAGGAAGGGGGATTCGGTGGATATTCTGCTCTCTTGCCTGGCACTGGAAGGGTTATCTCACAATGTGCAGTCACCATAAATGATAGGGAGAAGGAAGGGGGATTCGGTGGATATTCTGCTCTGTCTGGCACTGAAAGGGTTCTCACAATGTGCAGTCACCATAAATGATAGGGAGAAGGAAGGGGGATTCGGTGGATATTCTGCTCTGTCTGGCACTGCAAGGGTTATCTCACAATGTGCAGTCACCATAAATGATAGGGAGAAGGAAGGGGGATTCGGTGGATATTCTGCTGTCTGGCACTGGAAGGGTTATCTCACAATGTGCAGTCACCATAAATGATAGGGAGAAGGAAGGGGGATTCGGTGGATATTCTGCTCTGTCTGGCACTGAAAGGGTTCTCACAATGTGCAGTCACCATAAATGATAGGGAGAAGGAAGGGGGATTCGGTGGATATTCTGCTCTCTTGCCTGGCACTGAAAGGGTTATCTCACAATGTGCAGTCACCATAAATGATAGGGAGAAGGAAGGGGGATTCGGTGGATATTCTGCTCTGTCTGGCACTGAAAGGGTTCTCACAATGTGCAGTCACCATAAATGATAGGGAGAAGGAAGGGGGATTCGGTGGATATTCTGCTCTCTTGCCTGGCACTGAAAGGGTTATCTCACAATGTGCTGGCTGTTAGAGGACAGATTGCTGGATAATGAGGCCCGTGTGGAGCTGCCTTTCAGTCTATAGACCCTCTGTCTAGCCGATAGAATGTAGCTGGCTGTGACATTCGATGCTGGGCATTACACAATATTCTCTACACTGGTGTCCAGTTGGATTCATTGATACAACTTTGCTCTGGGTTAGTGAACGTGTTTGGCTAATGTGCTGCGGAGAAACCAGAGGGGGGGGGGTTGCAAATTTTAGCCCAAAATATCTAAGCTGCAAAAATTGCCGAGTGGGCTAGCTTTCCATTTTCACTCTCCCCAAATCTGAGTTTAATTAAAGTCCAAACCTATCTCTCGGTTGCTGTCAATCAGACTCCGTTTTGTTGCTTTATCTGTATGTGTAGTGCTGCACATTTTATTATTCACCATAACAGGCTTTTCCTCGAAATACAGGGACATGTCTCTACGTGTCAAAATTTTTCTGGACTAAATTAGTTTTTTTTCCCCTGCGCGATTCGTTTACCCGAATTTCTCATTACACCATTGAGTCTGTGACCTGCAATACTTTGATTACTGTTTTTGTTTGTTTGTTTGTTTGTTTTTACTCTTGTCGTATTGCTGCCTGCTGTTTTATATTAATGAGATTCTTTTCATAGAAATAATTAATTTTATTTAAAGATGGCGAGAGTTTTGCACCTGGAGCATTGTGCAGTGAGCATCACAATCTGTGGTTTCATTATTTAGAATTTGGTGTCTCCCAGGTCAATACATTTAATACCATTAAGCTGATACTAACAAATAGATGTTTTACTATTATTACAATTATTTAGAATATAAATGGCCCATAACTTGTCACTTTCAAACTGAAGGCCAACAACCAATCAGGCTCCCTCGCTGCTTCTGCTGTCATCAATTGTTTTTTTATGTACCATCCACAGGAAAGATCTTAACTCCCATCACTCTCTGTCAGCTAATGGTTGGCAATCAGTGGTGCCATCTGTGTATGAGTGCACATACTCCATTGTGATATTGGCAAAGGAGAGTGGCATGTGTCTTCGAAAAGTGATGAGATGGAATTCAAATACAAAATCAACAATACTTTTTTTTTTTTTTCTAAACCAATTGTAAAAAAGACGATGAAAGCAAATGTTAAGTTTAGACTCCAAAAGAATTTCTCAGAGTTGTAAAAGCAGGTGTGCAGCTCTGACTACTCAAATTCCAAGCAATAGTAAACTTATACAACAGAACAAAAGCTGAAATGGTTTTCTTCTTCTAAAACTGGACGATCACCTACTTCATACTGTTCAGAGTTAAGTATTGGGTCAGATTATGCCATAGTTTGTTTCTTTCTATAGAATTCATTCCTCTCTCAAGCACAACCTATTATGCACGTTACACAGAGAAGTTAACTTTTATAAAGCACATTTCTGGCCCCTCCATTTATTTTAATGCTCCACCATTCAGATGACAGAGTTGTCAATGTGATGCATTTTTGGAATATAGTCTTTACATTTTCCTTCTGCATTTTTGCTTGTTCATATACGTTCTACTGAGAAGCCTAATATGGATATATATATATATATATTAAAAGTCTTAGCATAAATCTCCATCAACGTTTCGACCCTTCAGGGTCTTCTGAAGGGTCGAAACGTTGATGTAGATTTGTGTTAAGACTGTTAATACACATTTGAAAAATCCAAGTGAGTGCTCCTGTTTTTAACTTCATATCTACTGGCCTGGAGGCACCCTGGTAATATCACTACTTTTGTTTTTTTTGGAGTTGAGTGCCAGAGTCTGGACTGATAGATAGAGATAGATATAGATAGATATATATATATATATATATATATATATAATTTATTTTTTTTTCCCCTCAAATTTTAAACAGCCCCCCCCCCCATAATCCATACTAATGGGGTTATATACCCTGATGAAAGTCCACAAGATGGACTGAAACGTTGATCTGTTTTAAAAGTACCTGGAATAAAAGTTAATTTTTGCAGCCACACTACCCGATTTTATATGGATACTCAAGCCCTGGTAATGCACCCGGTTTGGCAAGTTTGAAGCCTGTGTGCAAGGTATAGTTTAATATATTATATTTTATTATTTATATATATATATATATATATATATATATATATATATATATATAATTTTTTATTTATTTTTTTTCAAAAATTTTAAACAGCCCCCCCATAACCAATACTAATGGGGTTATATCAGTCCCATGTTTAGTAGTATAAAATGCAGTTTTACAGTTTGTTCCCCTGTTAAGTGGTGTAATATGTAATTTTACAGTTTGTTCCCCTGTTAAGTGGTGTAATATGCTGTTTTGCAGTCTGTTCCCGTGTTTAGTGGTGTAATATGCTGTTTTGCAGTCTGTTCCCGTGTTTAGTGGTGTAATATGCTGTTTTGCAGTCTGTTCCCGTGTTTAGTGGTGTATTTCCCTGTGTTTATATTCTATAATGACGGTTTGTTGCTCTGGATTGATACATTGAAGTTCTGCAAGCAATGATACAATTATTAAGATAACGGATGTATGTTTCATTGTATTTTTGTAACTGGTCTGAATGCAGTGTTCTTATTCTGCTCTGTGCATTCCTGGTATTTCTATTTCCCTCCAGTTGGCTAGTGGGGATTGTGCATCTAATCACGTAGCCCTGAATGAGCTGATTTAGAAAGTACTCTCCTTTGCCATACGACCAGCCTGAGTGGATCGAGAAAGAGCTAACCCTTTCACTGCCTGCAAGGTCTATTATACATTGCTGTATAAGCCTCTAAATCATGGGTAGTCAACCTGGTCCCTACCGCCCACTAGTGGGCGGTTTGGGATTTCAGGTGGGTGGTGGTGGGTTCTTCAGAAAATGTCCGGTGGGCCTCGATCTCGCCATGAACCAAGGCCGGCAGGGGAGATACTTTCATCTCCCCTGCTGGCCCATGCAGAGACAGCCTTGCTGGTGAGAAAAGATCTCCCTCTCTTGGGCTGGTGAGGAAATCAAAGATCTCCTTCACTGGGCCGCTGGCATTTAGTTCCAACAGAGGGAGGGCAGGGCCTGGGAGGCTCTGTGATCCTCCCGTGAGCAGGTTGGACGGTGCGCTGCCGCGCGTTACTATGTCAACGCTCCAATTCAGCGCTGTGCTCGCAGGAGGACAGGAGTGTCAGTCTGCAGCTAAAGGAGCTGCAGACGAAAGTGAACATGCCACCACTGGACCACCAGGGCTTGCAGCATTATGTCCCCTCGCCTCTGGTAAAAGCTAAGAAAGAGGGAGACATTAAGATAAATTTTCACATCTCTCCCACCTACATACAGCATAGACCCTATGCACACTGCTTCCCTCACGCACACTGCTTCCCTCAGACACACACACACTTCCACCCTCACACAACTACAGCACCCTTCACACTCACACAGCACCTCTTATACATACACACACTGCACCACTAACAAACACACTGCACCTCTCGCGCACACACACTGCACCTCTCGCGCGCACACACACACACACACACACACAGCACCATTTGATGCATTTAATTGCTTGATGGTGCAACACCATTCTTTCACAATCTTAAAATATGGCCCTTGTTAAATATTTCTGATCATCGGGCTTACAGGAAACAGATCCCGGTGCTCCTAGTGTGGAGCCACAATAATCAACTAATAAATTAATAATGAGGGCTTGAAATTATTGCCGTTGCTCTGTGTTCTGTTCAGTTTTACTTATAAAGTGTGTGTGTGTGTGTGTGTGTGTGTGTATGTATGTTTCTTTATTTTATTGTGCATAGAAATTAACAGGTAGCCCTGATGCACCACAACAGCGTCTGCAGGGTAGATTGAGAAACATTTGCATCATACAGTGTGGCATTTGCTGGACAGGCACATTTTTATATATATTTATAAAATCCATATTCTAACAGTGTTCAAGAATTGTAAATGCAGGTTAAACTATACGTTTGTAGGTATGTTAACTGATGTACAGGAGATTGTCTGGTGTCACATGTAAGTTCAGAATCGTGTGTGTGTGTGTGTGTGTATATATATATATATTTTATTCTTTTTATTTTTTTTGTAGCTTTTGAAGTGAAAGATGCCAGTTTTAAGGACGTTGACAAGAACTGTTAAGCCTATCCTGCAGGGTCCTGTCTGTGGGTGCCAGACCTTGGTTACACAGGCTCGTTTCATTGGTTTCTCACCTCGCCAAGTGCCGTCCGATGCCAGTTTTCACTCTGTGTCTTTCTCAGAGACTGACCACCCACGTGTGCTCATCACAGGTCTGTACTAAAGTGTTTGTTTTTTTCTGTCAGTTTTCCTACAGTTTTCCTTCTAAATTCCCATTTGAACTGTTTTGTGAATTCTACATTAAAGGGTCATTGTAGGCATATAAATTAAGTAGTTCTAGTGTTATTGTGTCTGACACCTTCTTTAAACTGTTTTAAATGTTTTAATTCTGAACGAGAGTTCCCAGTAGCCCATCCCCTATGTTCTGCTTGGGGTAATGAGGAAGAATTAGCCTGAGCACCAGAGGGCAGCTGTGATAGGCTGAACACGGTCAGCTAACAGTCTCAGCCAATCACAGTGCCAATTACTGGTAGAAATTAGCTTGACTCTAAGGAAGTGCCTAATCTCTGCATTAGCCAAATCTCTAGGAGGGGCTGGGCTGTGGAAGGCAAGGGACCATTATTTAGTGTTACACTGTTAAAAAATGGTTTAACATTTAATGGAGGGACTCCAGATACTAAAAGCAATTAAATAACATAAAATGGTCATAGTGCCTATAGTGTCCCTTTAATGGCAAAATTTTTGCTTGAAATGTATTTTAAAGGGACACCGTAGGCACTGTATCTGCTTCATCTCATTAAACTGGTTCTAGTGTATGGAGTCCCCTGGTGCCATCATTTCTTTCAGCATTAAACAGTTTTCAATGTTGTAATGTTTTAATGCTAAACAAGAGACCACGGCAGTCCATCCCCTCTGTGCTGCTTTGGCTAATAAGGAAGTATTACTCTGAGCAGCAATGAGCAGCTGTGATTGGCTGAGAGTGTCAGCTGACTGCTTTTAACCTGTCAGAGCTCCAACTGACGGTATGAATGGGTATGACAACAAGGAAGTGTGTAATCTCTGCCTTAGCTACACATACAGAAGGGGCCGGACTGTGGGTGGCCAGGGACTCTTATTTTGTGGCATACTGCACAAACATGGTGCAACACTGAATGGAGGGACAGTGCCAGGGCACTCCAGGCACTATAACCAATTCAAAGAGACAAAGTGGTTATAGTGACTACAGTGTCCCTTTAATATTGTATGTATTAATATCAGTAAAATACAGCATAGGATTCAACACTTGTCAACCTCTAACACTGAAAGTCTGTTATGTCATTAATGTCAATGTTCTTTCATTAAGAAGGATGCTTAGAAGTCTTGCTTGTTTTCACATGAATGAGTTTAGCCTATATTATATTATACAGTGGTACCTCTGTTTACAAATGCCTCGGTAAACATAATTTTCGGTTTACAAATGAAAATCCATTGAAAATAATGCCTCGGTTTACGAATTTTGTTCGCAACACGAAGCAAGTTTTCCCCAGGGTGCATTGCACCTGGGAGGTTTATAGCGTCGACCCAGTGCGTGCTGGAGTCTGTGGGTTGCATGTGGCATCAAGTGTGGAGGTGTTGGAGGAGTTTTTGCATCGAGTTTTGGAGCCAATCTGGAAAACAATTTGCAGCGGTTTTGGGACTTTTTGGAACTTTTTTGGTGCATTTCTCAAACGGTGGAAAGGTAGGGAGCTGAGCTTCATTGTTTGCATGCCTTTTACTGTGTGTTCTGCATTTTGGGTTGGTTTCCATGCCTGCTAATTTAGACTTTTTTTCTGACTTCCGGATTCATTGGTTTTCAGAGCATTCCTATGGGAAATCACGTTTCGGTTTACAAATTTTTCACAATACAAAACATCCCGGAGAACGCATTAAATTTGTAAACTGGGGTACCACTGTATTACGTATAGATTTTTTTAATTATATCTTTAGCTGAAGACATATTGGGGTAACATCCCTGGTCAAAGCTCTAAGTAAAGAGTTCAAGTTCCATTAGTAAATTATTTTTATTATCATGAGAGAAATAAAATGAGACCCGTTGAATTAGATGTTACAGCTTTAAACTCATTTGCAAATTACAGAAGATTTTAACGTATTATTCCTGTTGGAACACTTGATTATATTATCTCCCAGGTTAGTATTGTCTATCATGTTTTTTTTATTCTAAAATTCACTTTTTTTAAAAATGTGTTTTCCAGGAGGACTGGGTCAGCTGGGAGTTGGACTCGCAAAGCTATTGAGGTAAGGAAATCTGAGAGAATCCTACGTTCTTTGTGCCCAACATTAAACATGTTCTGGGAGCAATAATTTCCTAAAGTAAACACCGTTCTGTCCCAAGCATCTGTATTATTTGGTCATCTTAGAAAACATCCAAAAAGTACAACAAACTACAAAAATGTAACGAGAAGACTACTGTTCTCTCTAAACTATGAATTTTGGGAGGTCAACAACAAAATCATAAAATGTAGCTATGGGAAATAGATCTAACAAGCTTTTCATCTCTCACATTAGCCTGTAGTATTGGGGTTCTCCAACCTTGGTCTAAAACTCTTGAGTTCTCTGTCAATCAAAGGCTATGCTCCAACTTGTCAGTGTTTGACCATCAATCATGTGGAAGAATCCTATTCATGACAAGCTTGTAGTGTTCATGTAAAATCAGAAGGTTCTTCCAGTCTGCTGGGAAATACCTGTAAAATACATGGCTACAAACTGTCTTTTTATTTTTTGTTTATACCTATGTATTTAAGGTGTATCTGTATCCCTTGATGGCTTCCATTCCTTTGAAGGGCTGAGCTTCCCTCTGAGACTTGTAAATTGTGTTGATTTAAGAGATTAAAGTGTTGGGAATGATGTGTCCTAGTAAATGACAAGACACTTTGCTTAATCTCACAGGAAACAATACGGAAAGAACAATGTGATCTTGTCTGATATTCGTAAACCTCCAGACAGTGTCTTCTATAGCGGTAAGTATCAGGACCGTTTTAAAAGGGACACTCCACTGCCCAAAAAGAACAAAAACAATACAAATCACTGTGTAGTAGATATACCTCCACATGCATGCATTTAATTATACATTTTTAATTGTGGGTATATCTAAAAACAGCTTGCAAAAGCTGAAGATAACTTGACTGCAGCCTTCTGTAGCTGTCCAATCACAGAGTTCCCAATGCAACTCTATGAGAAGTCTTTGCAAGGCAGGTCTTGTGGGCATTTGCTGCGTTTTGGGTTTAGCTCCACTGAGCTAAGCTGCCAAGAAGTAACAGGACCTGTTGTGTGATTGACAGCCAGGGGGTGTAACAAGGTTCATTTGTAAAAGTATCAATTTCTCTTGAGATCTGCATTTTTTGGAAAATGGGGAAAAAAAGAGGACACATTCTTCAACAAGCTAAAATTAGGGTCCCTTTAACTTGTAATGTTTGGATAAGTTAGAGAAGCATAATTGTTCTCATAGGATCATTATTCTGATTATTTGTATATAACACAGGAGCTATTATTGGGGAAAAACACAGCTGTTTTAGCAAAGCAACGTGGTGCCGAATGTATGGCCACAATCCCTATAACCAGCATGTGTTTGGCATAATTCCACAATCTAAGACGTATCTCAATGAACCTTTTTAAACTAGTGAGAATTTAGATTCCATGAGCGTGACTGATCGATATAATTTTGTTTGCATAATTTTGAGATGGTTTTCATTATAATCTACTTGTCTTTCACCAAAGGGCCATTTATTTATTCTGATATTTTGGACTACAAGAATCTCCGTGAAATAGTGGTGAACAATCGCATAAACTGGTTAATCCATTACAGTGCTTTGTTAAGTGCGGTCGGTGAGGCAAACGTTCCTTTGGCAAGAGCGGTCAATATCACCGGTAAGACCTTAAAGACACCAAACCTCATACTTCTTGCTGTTCACCACACAGATCTTCTTTTCTCCAAAGCTAATTTCACATATTCTTTTCTGCAGGTCTCCATAACATCCTGGACATTGCTGCTGAGCACGGGCTGCGCCTATTCGTCCCCAGCACGATAGGAGCTTTTGGTCCCTCGTCTCCCAGAAACCCCACACCAGATCTTTGCATTCAGAGGCCTAGAACAATCTATGGTGTTTCCAAAGTCCATGCAGAACTCATGGGAGAGGTACATAATTCTAACGTTGTGTCTATGGCCTTCTTCCTCACTAGATCTGAGTGTGGTGATCTTAGAGTGGTAAGGCTTAATGTACAAAAAGGGCAGAATAACGGAAAGCCAACTCTAGTCGACATACCAGAATTATACCTCATTGCAATTTCTGGCCAGAATCACATGAACCAGAGTGGGTAGTCATACAACCTGTATATTTGAGCAATCCTGGCTTGGAAGGAGTTGGCCAACGTGAATCTTGCGATAACATGAGATCCAAGATGGCTACAGCATGAAAGGCCCAATGAGACAAACTCCCACGGACTCAGAGAGACTAACAAAACCAAAAAATGAGAGTTCCAGGCACTCTTGGTACCCAGAGCAGACCCCAGTGACGAGAAACCTTCAGGGAACAGACTATAAAGGAACAGTGGTAATCAGACTGAGGACATACAGGGTAACGTTAATAAAGGAACTAAAATAAAATAGAATACACAGAGAATAAGGGGAACAGAGGGTAGACAGGTGTTGGGGCCCGTGATGTATGAACAAATGGGGCACTAATCGCTTAAAAGTACACCCTACTAAATAGCAATGTGTAACAACAGTAGGAGCAAATACTCTGATCTGTGCTGCTATGTAGGAACAGCAAAAAAAGAGGAAGTGCTTTGGCTGACAGGGCCTTATATCACCTTGCATCACCTTTCTGATTGGTTGCTGGTTTTATGATTGTGTGCTGCTGGAGTTCACTAAAGAGCGTTGAATGCAAAATATTCGCCTCCTGTCATGGGGTAAAATTATACACTAAAGAACTAATAATGCCAGGAATGTAAAAATCAAATGACCTCTTCTAAAGCCATTAAAATGAACTTTTATTCACATTAATATTACCTCGGAAAAACAGAATGATGGCATTAACAAATCTTTATTGCATGTTAAAATGTAACAAATTTTCTGCAAAGTATTTCAATGCCAAGGGGCACATAGGCATATCATTCTTGCCAAGCTAAACAATAAATGGTGTAACCACCTGGTATTTAAATGGACAGGGGTTCAGATTATAACTTGGCTCACACGGAAACTTTGTGCAGTTCAGCCCTGTAGCCTTATTACATCCTCCGTCAGCTTTCGTTCTAGTGGGAGTATGTCTGGAACAGAAATAGCCTATTCAGCTCCTGTCTGCCATTTCTAAAGGCTCCTCGTGTTGGCAAACACCTGTTCCTAGGAAATTCATGACCTGCTGATGGAAACCTAATATCTATGGATTGCAGTGAATGCCGAATGCAGATCATTTCAGAGCATCACCCCACTGTTTATTTTTACAGTATTACCACTACAGATATGGACTGGACTTCCGATGTCTCAGATATCCTGGCATCATCTCTGCCGATTCCCAACCAGGAGGAGGAACGACAGGTAAAGACACATTTTTAATTTCAAAGAGTGTGTATATTTACTTGGTTGAAAAAACTTACATTTAATCATTTTGTATATTTTCTCATTTCCAGCAACAACTTTTCCATACTGATGACTTACCTGTTTGCTATTTTTCATACTGTTTTACTGTAAGCTCTATAACCGTTTGATCTTATTGAATTGGTTTTAAGGCCTACACTCCTCTGGTGCCGTCCCTCCTTTAAGTGTAAACGATTTTCAAATATTTTAACGTCCCCAGTTCAACCCCCTACTGGAAATGTGCTTAAGGCAGTGGCGTACACACAACCCATGGGGCCCTGGTGCGAAAACTGATCCGTGCCCCCTCTCTCCCCCCTGCGCTTACTCTGCGCGGGCCGGGGGCCGCAACACATGGGGACGGGCACCTGTTTGCGACCCCTGTGACCGCGGTATGTACGCCAGTGTATGCAGATACACATTCACTTAAAGGACCACTATGGGCACCCAGATCACATCAGCTCAATGAAGTGGTCTGGGTGCCAGGTCCCTCTTGTTTTAATCCTGTAGCTGAAAACATAGCAGTTTCAGAGAAACTGCTATGTTTCACTGAGGGTTAATCCGCCTCTAGTGGCTGTCTCATTGACAGCCGCTAGAGGAGCGTCCACGATTCTCACTGTGAAAATCACAGTGAGAAGACGCTGAACGTCCATTGGAAACCATTGAGTAATGCTTTCCTATGGGTGTTTTGAATGTGCGCGCTGCTCTTGCTGCGCATGTGCATTCGCAGCTGAGAGGCGGATCGGGGTGGAGGAATCCCCAGCGCCAAGGGACTCCGGCGCTGGAGAAAGGTAAGTGCTGAAGACACACACACTCTCATGAACAGATGCATACACACTAGCTAACAGACACACACACATTTACTGACAGACACACACTCAGTGACACATACATACACACTCACTAACAGACACCAGACTCACTAATAGATGCACACAAACACACTCAGTAACACACTCACTGACACACACAAACTAACACACACTGACACAAAAACTAACACTAACACACAACTCTAACACACACACGTTTTAATAAAAAATTTAATCCCTCAGCCTCCCTACCTTTGGGAGTGCTGAGGGGATTCCCTGGGATCCAGTGGTGTTGCTGGGCGGCCGGTCACCAGGCTGGCTTGCAGGTGGGCACGCAAGGGAGCACTCTTCCCTGGCTGCTACCTGTTCAGCTCCATCGCGCGCCGCGTACTGATGCCGGAGCTGGAATATGACGTCATATTCCGGCTCCAGCATCCATGCGGCGGGCGAGGGAGCTGAACAGGGAGCAGCCAGGGGAGAGTTCTCGCGCGCTCGCCGGGTGACACCAGGGCCAGCCTCGGGGGGCCCTGAGGTGGCCGGCTCCTGGGCCCGCCAGGACAAGCGGCTGACTACACTGGCGTACATATCGGGTCGCAGGGCTGCCGGGCCCCCTGGTGAGCCGGGCCCGGTCGCAGCCACGACCCCGGTATGTACGCCACTGGCTTAAGGCAGAGATTAGACACTTCTTACGAGCTGTAACAATTCATACCAGCATCGGGCGCTGTGAGCAGTACAGAGGGGATTGGTTGCTGGGGTCTCTTGTTTATCATGAACAATGGTTTAATGCTGAATGAAAGGATGACTCCAGGGGACTCCAAACACTTCAGTGGGATGAAGCAGTTACAGATTCTGAAGGTTCCCTTTAATGGTGAATGCCAGTGAAATTACATTTGGAACGTATTCAATCTATGGATTCACAATAATCTATAGTTGTGTTCCTTTAAGTTGCCCCAGTTCATTCATGTACATGATCCAGAAAGTAAATGTACACTTTCATCTATTATACATATCTGTCAAAAAATATTGTATATTTATAATGGTCTGTTTAGCTACACTTTAGTAAGAGTTGAACTGGGACAGATGGTAAACTGGATCAACTCATTTATCCTGTTACAGGACAACCCATCATCCACCTCTTCATGTCCTTATAAATAATGTGTTTGCATATTTATATATTACTTTTTACATAATCTTTATTAACTTTTTTACTATAGTTTTAAATTAGTATTAAATTTGGGTAATTGCATGCCATATATTTTCTCAAACTAGATTACGCAGTCCAAATATTCCATGATGCCATTAAGTCCGGGCGCTTTGAATGTAACTTGAAACCTGACACCCGTCTTCCTATGATGTATATTGATGATTGCCTCCGAGCTACAGTGGAGGTTTTGGAAGCTCCGGCAGAGTCACTTTCTATGAGGACTTACAATATCAATGCCATGAGCTTTACCCCTGAGGAGCTGACAAAGGAGGTTCGAAAACACATGCCAGAACTCGAAGTTATTTACACAACGGACGCCGTAAGACAGGCTATTGGTGAGTTTGGAATTAATTGACATCTGGTGCCTCACTTTTACCAACATCCCATCAAAAACACTTATTTGTGAAAGAACACTGTTCTGAACTTTACAATAAGTTTAAATTCCGGGAGAACTGAACAATGTATATAGACGCAAGAAGGCCTCTCCAATTACGGAGTTCACAAAATCTTCTTAAAGTGCACAAAACAGTAGTCTTTGTCCAAATGTTCTAGACCAATTTAGATCAATATTTGCCCTTTACTTGAGACCAGATGTTTGTCTGTGTCTCTGTGTTTTCTCACATGCTGATTTGGTTAACTTTTAATCCACTAACTCAAAACGTTGATAGTAAAATGTGGACCCCATGCTCTCTCTGTGTCTATAATGGTATCTGGTACCGCTCACTGACAAAGCCCAAGGAAGGCTGAAAATATATGGTATCCAGTGTTTGACAAACTCAGTCACCCCAGTCTAACATTATGTGGTCGGACGTGAGCTGAGTTTTCACTGATCTGTATGATACCTTAAAGGGCACCCACAGCACTTAATTTTGTTGAAGTGGTCTAGGTGCAGTACACCTGTCCTCTAACCCTGCAGATGTAAAATATTACAGTTTACATTGCAGTATTAAGACAACCTCTAGGGGCCTTCCTTCTAAAGGATACTTTTATTTTATGTCTAAATTTAATTATTCTGAAAAAGATATTTGGCGAAAACCATTTATGTGCATACAATTTTTGTTTCAAAGTATAAAAGTAATCTTCCCTTCATGTTTTTAGCTGACAGCTGGCCAATGAACTTCGATGATTCTAATGCTCGCAAGGATTGGGGATGGAAGCATGAATATGACCTTCCTGAGCTGGTAACAACTATGCTCAACCACTTAAACTCTGAAACCCTTGCTGTCCAGGCAAGCTAAACCCATCTGCATTAAAGAGTTCCGGTAACAGGACAACGGGAATGTCTCAATGCTGTTCCACCTGGAGTGAGCCAACATGCAAGCCACCATTTAAAATGCTCATTAGTGAGAAAAGCAAAGAACTTTGTTAATGGGGATAACATTGCTTGTCAATAAGGTCGTCATACAAACCAGTATCACATTACCTGAAAATGTGTTTTTGTACAGTTAGGAAAATATTATGTATTGTGCAATAGACCATTTTATTAAAAAAAATATATATTGGGGACGTGATATTAAATCTGGCTTCTAAACTATATTTTCAGATGTGAAATAACCTTGCTGGACCTATACCAAATACAGGTTACACAGCTAGTCCAAATTGTCAAACCGTAATAAAATTCCACACATTTCCTTCTACCAAGTCATAGAAGCCTGACACTTACCTGGTCTTGGGACTTGAAAATCAATTTAGTGCACCTATGGTAATTACTGGTCTGCTAATACAGAGCTAGAATTAATTAGTGCAGCTTATTCCATTCTCCTAATTGTTAATCAGAATTGTAAAGACAGTATTTGTGATGAACAGTACTTAAGGGGAACTCGGTTACCAACAGGCGGAGAGTCAAGACCTCCTAATACCCTTTGGAAACAACAAAGCGACAAGGACTTTAGTTGTCCAACAGGAGAGTTTTGATGTTTCTGCTGACACTTATCTCAGTTTTCCAATGCTGATTGTGAATACCACATGAACTCTTTTAAATCCATTACAAGGTGGCATTGCGAGATTCCACGTTTTATATTTCATTTTCACTTTTGGGTATATCAGTTTTAAGTTTTTATGTGTTTATTTAGAGATGGTATAATTCAAAAACTATAAAAATTGGTTTACGTACATCTTATTTTGTTTGGGTAATGTAGTAGCCAAATGGGTTTGATTGTTTATAATTATTTTCTTTATATCTCAAACTCGATGACACAAGTAGAACAGGTAATTGCAGCGTACAGAAGGACTGCACTTGTGATTCGATTTTCTTCCCTCAAATTGGGATGTTTTGTTCCAGGAACCAGTTGTCAAATTTGGTATCTCAAGATCAAAGATCCCATACATGGCAACCTTTTGTATTGTTCATCTCCCCAACTATTCAGCTTTCAAAAAGTCCCCAATATATATTTTTAGTTCATTTATATTTTTTCTATTTGACAGTAGCATAGGGAATGTGTAGCATTTGTGCCATGGGGCACCTGGACTGCAAAACCCAGTAAGAGCCAATATGGGCCATGCAATGAAAATTTGATCCATACTCTACTTGATGACCTTCCAATACTTGAAAAGAACAAACTCGAATTCCAACACTACTATACTTGATATACATTAATACATGTAGTCTTTTGCATGTTACATGGCTTGCGAGAGGGTAATGTGATACACCTGGTTTCTTAATTGTATATTTGTTTTTCACACTTGTTAGACATCTGATATTGTAATAATGTGCTTTTCATATTGCTTTATTTATCTGTGTTAAATGTGGTATCTTCCTACTGTTTAGTTTTTTTTGATGATGCCATTCAAGAATACACAAATTAGGTCTTAATTTAATATTGTTGGATACGGTTTTAAAATGAACTCATATTTATTAAAATATATAATGTAAAAAAATACATGTCAAAACACTTAAATATTTTTCAAAACATTATATCATTTAAAGCATATCCAAAGATATAAAATCAAGGCCTAAATACTTAAAGGGTGGTATGCATCTTTTGAGAATTGTTTAGAAATGGATTGCTCACCCTATCTGGATGGCGAAGATGTATATTAATGCTGAGAAAAATACTGTATTTGTTTTTAAATTATGTCTTACTTTTCCAACTCCTTGGAGCACAATGTAGTATGTGTGCATACCTAGCACACTAGCTAATCATTGGCTAGCATGCGGTGGCAATTCTAATCTGGCCATGTGTCTTCTTCACGCATTCCTTTGAAGAGATTACAAACTCCCGCTGGTGTAGAGGTACCAAGGTCAGCACGTTTGCGGGACCCATCGGGTGGCCCATGCACTTATGCTACCCATTGGGTATTTCTAAACAGGATCCTGGTCGTGCGCCATGGCCATTTAAAGCACCACTGGACCCCTGCAATATCGGCAGCATGTGAACAAGTGACCCACACTCACTTCCTCCCATGCTGCCAGTATTACAGGGGCCCAGTCGTGCTGATAAAGGGCCATGGCACATAACCAAGTTCCTGTTTAGCAATGCCCATTGGGCAGCTTTATGGAGAGAGCCATGTGGGGAGGAGAGGAGAGGGCACAGGCTGCAGGGAAGGAGAGAAAAAGAGCAGCTCCAGAGAGAGAGAATACCCAGACTCACATTCACATCAACCACAGCCAGCACCTGGACCCCATGGAAGGCATCCTCCTGCACACAATAGATATGTTAACAGGAGGGTGGCTAAACATGTAAACATGATGACATGTATGTATCTGTGTGTTAAGGTGTGTGTGTGTGTGTATCTGTGTGTCAGGGTGTGTGTATGTCCTTTTACAGTATGTGTGTATGCTTCAGTGTATGTGTGTCAGGGTGTGTGTATATGTCCATGTTTATCTGAATGTGTGTCTTTGTGTGTGTTTACATGTGTATATCTGTGTAAGTATGTTATGTATGTGGCAGTGTATATCACTACATACAAACACACTTCTGCAATCAAACGCAAACATTACATACAAACACAGCCCGTATTAAAACACCATAATTATTTATGAAAACTAATGCTACACAAAAAAAGCAAACCTGCATTTAAAAGCCTACATTACATGCAAACACTGCACAGAAGTACGTCCCTGCATTCCCATGGTGACAACACATACAACAGAAAATACACCCATTCATGCAAACACATACATTCAAATACACAAACACTGCTCACAATTACAAATGGTAGACCCCAGCTGGCATAGCGTCGTGAGAGATCTACGTTTTGGCCACCTTTGCACTGGAACGGGGAACAAACATTTCGTGCACCAAGGCCCTCGTTACATTCGTTCTGCTACTGATTCTAAATCAGTAACTCACTTGGGAGGTTTATAAGTAGGTAAACTAGAAAATCTGCTTCCTCTTGATGGACATTATGTTCTACATAAAGGAGATTGTAGTCCCATCAACCAGAGGGATGGACCTTTCCAGTTCTGACTTGAATTTGGAAGATACAATTTTAATACTTTTGTTTTTTAATGTTAAAACGAAAAGATCCTGTGGTTGTTTATACGAAGCATGTTGAACGTGACACTTCTGTATGGAGTGTTCTGCACGTTTGTTAATAACTGTAGTAAATGTAGCATCGGTGAAAACATAAGAACTATATTGTTTTACAGGGTGGTGAGCAGATATATTTTTATAATTGAAAGCATGGAAAATATTTTTGCATTTTTCATTTATTTCAGTTATAATCATGAAAAAATAACTTTAATAAAAGACAGAAAATCACACGTCTTGTGTCAGATTGATGTATTGGGGATAGACTGCCAAGTGCTGTGCCTACAACATATGACCTACCGAAACTTTGTTATGATCATGGCATTGTGCAGTAATGGGTCAGAGGATGCTACAAAGATTTATAATGTGTGGATCCATAAATGGCAATTTTTCCAAGTAACAAAACATTATTATTGGGGACTTTGCAAAATGAAAGCAATCTGGGGACTTTGCATAATTTGCACAGACCCGCAATGGCGACATCGCTGCTGGGGGTCCGGTGGCAGGTCCCCCTGCTGGTGAAAAATAATAATGAAATATATATTGAAATTGAAAACTATAAAACATATCGATGATACTGTCAGGAAGTTAAATTTTTTGCATTTTTCACACACAAACAGCACTTTCACTGATGATATAATTGTTGTGACACGTTTTATTGTTTTGAAACACTAATGTTTTTGTTCAGCCAGGTATAACAGTACCCACCATGTACAGGTTTTATAATGTTTTTGAATATAAGGCTTGATTTTTATTTTATTTTTGACATTGAAATTTGCCAGATTGGTTATGTTGCCTTTGAGAGTGTATGGTAGCACAGGAATGAGAATTACCCCCATAATGGCATAACATTTGCAAAAGAAGACAACCCAAGGTATTGCAAATGGGATATGTTCAGTCTTTTTCAGTAGCCACTTAGTCACAAACACTGGCCAAAGCTAGCGTTCATAATTGTTTTTTGTATTTCTAACACACAAATATAAATGCAAACTTTGGCCAGTATTTGTGGCTACTAAAAAAGACTGGACATACCCCATATTGAATACCCTGGGTTGTCTACTTAAAAAAAATATGTACATGTGAGGTGTGATTCCGAGATTTATGACAGATAACAGTGTTACAATGTCACTATTGATCAATTTAAAAAATAATATATTTTGAAACCGCAATTTCCTATTTGTACTTGCAAAAAAAGCATGTAAACACTGGGTGTTTTTAAACTCATGACAAAGTTTTGAATCTATTTAGCAGTTTTTTTTTCATTAGCATTTGTAGATAAGTAAAATATTTTTCAAGTAAAAGTAAAAAAACATTTTTTTTTTTTTTTAATTTTTCACCATATTTTATTTAATTTTTTTAAAGTAAATTCTATGACATAATACAAATAATGGTATGTAAAGAAAGCCCTTCTTTTCCTGAAAAAGACAATATATAACTTGTATGGGAACCGTAAATGAGAGAGAGAGAGGAAAATTACAGCTAAACACAAACACCACAAAAGTGTTAAAACAGCCCTGGTCCTTAACGTACAACATGGCCAAAACAGTCCGGTCCTTAAGGGGTTAAATCCTAAATGGCAGAGATTTGAGCAGTGAGACTGCAGGGGCATAATCTATACACCAAAACGGATTTATTAAGATAAAGTTGTTTTGGTGACTATAGGGTCCCTTTAATGTTGTAGCCTTTCTGTGGGGGCAAATTCATGAGTATATCCATTTGGCAGAATTTCCACAGTGTACATGTGCTCATACAAGCTCTCATGCAGTCGCCCAAATGTGTGTATCATCATGCAACAATATCACCCACATACAAATGTTGTTGAGGCATGTCTGTGCTCCTGCCCCTAGTTAGCAAATAAATTAAACTAGGTTTATTTTTTGCTATAAAATATCCATATCTTGCCCTGGGAAGAAGAAGAAGAAATAATTTGCTAAGAATGAAATCTGTTTTTTCTTTGAAATTTCATCATATTTAAAGTTTGACGCTATAGAAGGATTCCAAGTATTCCTTGGCGTGGCTCCATAGGACTATTCCTTGGAAACTTTCCCAGAGAGCTATTTTTATTGACCACTAGCATATGTGCATTAGGCTATCCAATTTCCTGTTGGCTTTGAAAGGGTAAACAAACAACTTACTTAGCCTGTCCTGGTAGATGGAATATTAGATTACCTTTTATTATAGGTCTTTGAATTTTTTATAGTTTCTTTAATTATATACACAAATTTAGATCATTTTCAGCATGTTTAATTCCCCCCCAACTTCATAACCTTAATTTTTCTATGTTCTAATTTAAAACAAATTAGTAAAATGTATTTCTGATCTACTAACATTTTTTCTTGTCAGTTCATTAAATAAAACAATCATGGCAGGTGGAAAACTGAATGGATTTAAAGCCAGGTTCAGTTTGTTACAGTGTGATGAGAATATTGATCCTATAGACTAGTTATTTATCGATCTGTCTTCAGTAAGCTTTCCAGAGGCTACAACTTACGAGAAAGCAAGATGTCCTGTTAAACATCTTAACAAGACTTTACCTAAAGTAGGTTTTTGAGTGATATTGTATTTTTACATTAATTAACTTGGCAACTAGTGCTAATAAACAGATTTTTTTTTTTTTTTTTTTAAATAACCTTTAACTAAGTATATCATGGTGTAGTTGTAACAATGTGATAATTGAAATGGACAATGGGCCTGAAAACTAGCCTTCATAATACTTTTATACCAATGGAATGTGGGGATATTTATGGGATAATAATAGTAACAGTGAGAATTGCCCACTAATTCAATTCTCAGATCCCAAAGAACGTTTATCGTGTTAAGTGGAAAGTATTTCATATAAATAATCACAATGTATAAAAATAGATTTTTATTTATATGACAAATTAATAATAATAATATTATATGTAACATGCATAACAATAATCAATGAATATTCAGTACAAAATTATATGCAATACAAAGAAATGGGTATTACGTTTCAATGGCTATTAACTCATTATCTGTCAAGACTTCTACGATTTATGAGGTATCCTTAACACAGGCTGAAAGTGAAACTTTTCACACAGAGAACAGAATTCCTCAGCAGTGCAGCATAAGGTCGTAAAGTTTAGCAGACAGTTAGAATAACCCTTTCAATGCTGGCTAGATCTCCTAGGTAGTTAAGATCTATTCTTATGTAATTTTTAAATAAAATAACATTTAATCCAGTTTAAATTCATTTTCTTAAACTCATCCAATAAGAGAATTTACTATATTATATAAGCAGGTTTTTAATTTGTCTAAAAGATATCTATCTTAATTTAGAGCAAATCAATACACCTGGATAAAAACAGCGGTATGCTAACACGTGATAATATCACATCAATATATAATTATTCTTAATTCCATCTGCAGAATGGAATGTTTATAACTATATATTCTTAGTTAACTAAGATTTCTTAATATGGAAATCTGACCGTGCTTTATCCAGTCATATATAATGCTATTAATACATTTTAATTAATTTAATTTAATTAAATGAAACCAGTATAATTACCAGTTGAGTAGATATTTCATCAGATTGGTAGTCTCTCTGCATGGAGGTGTTGGTTAGAAAGTCAGTAAATTCTAAGTGTTAGAGTTTTAGGAGTAGAGTGTTAGTCTCAGATGTTGTCCGAGTTGGAATCCCCAAACTTCCAATTCCTCTCTCCTCTCCTTTGCATATCTTGCATCTGCCTCCTCTCGTGTATCTCTTGTATCTTCCCTTTGTCTTAACTTTTAAAGGGCCAGACTCTCTGTACGTCATCAGTTGATAACCCAATAGAAGCACTAGAGGTGTGGTTATCTTCCAGATCACAAATTAGTTATTTGGTCTATAGAGGGCAGTCTTGTCCCACTAAACATACCTATCCAGGAAAGAGTTAACTTTTCCTGGTGGCTATTTTGACGTCATTTTGCGTTATCTTTATAGCGCCATAATTTAACATTTCAAAGGGTTTCTTAAATTTTGTCCAGACTTAGCGTCTGCAATTCCTGCCATAATTTCTGATATGACAGATCATGAACTAAGTTTACCCTTTTCCATACAATGGTACCTTATATATATAGACAGTTAAATATTAAATTATTTAATCTTCTCTGTCACAATTGTCTGGGTTTAGATTTGATTATATTCCATTAGCATTAGACAGTCTGTCCAACCCCCTTCCTTATCACTTGTTTATACTATGCATTCCTTAGCTCTGGCAAAGAGGCCAGTCTTACAGAAAGAAATCTAGTGTCTTCTTTGTTAACTTGAAATAACAAAATGGAGTCTGATCTGTTCAGAGTGACTCAGAATATACACTTTTAGTTTCTATCATAGCACAAAATGTCTGCCGATATAAATACTCTGACAGGAAGAGTTAGAGGGCCCATGAGTTCCCCGTCATCGCATTGGAGAGTGATCCAGAAATATGTTTTGAATCCATTTGTTGCACTGGGAGGCCAGCGATGGGTTGAGAGCACCAGGTGACGCTCTTAGCCTCTCACCAGCACCCAGTGTAAGGCATCCATATTCAAACTGGCGCCAGAGGAGAAAGAATAATTATTTGGAGCACTTTGGTGTTAAACCATTTATAAATGGTTTTACCTCTTAAGGTAAAATGTTGTCCAGGATCACCAGGCACCATAACTACTTTGTCTCAACAAAGTTGTTATGGCGCCCAGAATGTTCCTTTTAAAAGAGCCGTCAATAGTTATAGATTTTTTATTTTTTTTCGTAATAAAATAAATGGAATCTTTTTGGTAGAAGTGTGAGTGTTAATCCTGGAATTAAAGTTAGAAGAGACTGTGTCACTGAGCAGGTCCTCGATTCTGAAAGCTAGCAGGTATCACTCATTGGAACTTGGTGCCACAAACAGAGCCCAAGACAAGGTGAAAAATAAGAAATAGTTAGACACTGAATGCAATCAGTAGATTACATTGATTTGCAAAGAATACACCATCCCAGTCTAGTTCTAAATATGCTGACTATTAATTCCAATGCTCCCACTTACGTGTTAATCTGTCTGGTATGTGTTACTGTACGGCTTGTCCTCAAGTAACCTTCCTGTACAGATCCCCGTCTGTTATATCTGCCACATGTACAGTGCGGTTATGGGGAAGTGGAATTATTTGTGACGTTTGCCAGAGCCTGATAATTTTCCAAATAGTACAGTCATTATTCTTCTGTAAATTTAAACATATACTCATGGCAGGTCTAGTTAAGGTAAGATTTATTGGGTTAAATAGAAATATAAAGGCATATTTAATATACTTTCTATTTAAAAAACAAAACAAAAAAACAACAACCTGAATTTCTGTAAATGTCCCAGAAAAAAACCCTTCATTTATGTTAGTGGCATTGTGATGGAATTCCAGTAAAATACAAGTTTAGCAGGCCAAGCTTGCCACAAGGCATATGTAGGTACATGTGTTTGTAGTATCAGTTAGTTAGTTACACGTAGCTAAGATACTGTCATCACTGTACTGAGCATGTGCAGGAATGCAGGAACTGGAATTACGCGTCCCTCTCCTTTGTTTCAGATGAGCCACGTGGTTAGACCGCATGGATGAGTTTAGACTCTATTCATTGATTAGGTTAAGGGTATGTGTGGGCGTAGCTAATTATGGGAGGAGCTACAGTGCTATATAAGGAATGTACTCTATGTATTCAGTGCTCAGATCTTTGCTGTTTTTGGTGACATAAAAGTCCCTCTGAGTCCCGGTCGGTGAATCGAATAAAGATCTCTTCCTTCCTGAAGAAACCTGTGTCCATCTCTCTGTGCTTGGCCTCCGTCAGTTTTCCGGTAACAGCATAGATATATATATACTTAGTAGTGATGACCTAATTGTGTGTTTTTAATAAATCGAGTTCCTTATAGTAGATAAGGAAAGGCATATTCTTGGCATTAAAATTCTTTTGGACATTTAAACGAACTCCATTTCTTGTCAAATCACATCAATGGGAGCACCAATCCTAAAACTTAGTGTTATGAGTCATCCCACAGATCTATAGGATGTGCTATTTGGGTGCCAATGGGTATTTATACATTAGAACATACATACAGACTGACGCAAACTTACAGGTTCTTTCATGGTACTGAGTCCATTGCTGTTTCCGTAGAATATACTAAAGGGTTACTCCAGGCCTTTGACAGTGGTTAAGATGTCTGTAGTGCCCTTGCCTGGTTCCCCAGTACTGGGGAAAATGCTACACATTTCGATTTCAGGCACCATGACCACTCCAAATCACTGAAGTGGTCATTGTGCTTGGAGTGACCTTTAAAGTACATTGGTCACATCTTGTGGCCGGTTTTCCGCTTAGCAATGCCATGGTCTGCTGGTGGCTTGGTGATGATGGTGTGTGGTGATCATTACCAAGTTCATGGCAAGTTCAAACACTCCACACTGCCCAATCGATAGCCAGGGGTGTTTCATTGATTTTGTTTAATGAGTGCTGACTTAGAAACCTGCATTTTTATTATCCGTCATCATAATAGAATATCCCTCACCCATACAGAACTTCAGCAAGCTGAAGTGCCTACTAGATGTAGAGGGGTCCTTTAAACAGCATGGTTATCAGACTATGACAAACTCCTGCTATCCTATGCAGCTGCTTGGCTAGTTCAGACTTACTTTGAAAGGCAATTGGTAGGAAAACTCCTCACTATGCTTGGACATCTCAAATGGCCTAAATCATCCCAACTCCGTTATGTAACTTTGATGAAGATGGGAAACTTAAACCACTCTCCGAGTTATGTCCCGATACCCATCCTACATTTATGGATGAATTTTGGTATCATCAATTGCAACAATATGCATTGACACTGACACACTTAGATGCAATACACCCTCCCACCAAATTTGAAAACCTATGCATACGGCAACATTCCCTTAAAAAACATCCCAAGGCCACGCTCCTTTCTGGAGATATTTCTCCACCTATCCCCCAAACCTATAAAACTCTATCATAAATCTATTGAATTCTATCTATTATTAGCAGCTAAAGCTCTCATACTTAAATATTGGAGGCAACAGATTTCACCTCCACTTGAGGAATGGTACACTAGAGTAGAGCACATTAGAAGCATGGAAGAGGTTAGTTACTCTTTATCTGGACATAACACACAATACACAATAACTTGGGTGATGTGGATAGGGCATACGAAGAGCAGAAATGTGTAAATATAAGCCACATCTCAACTCCTGCAAAATCGCAAAATCACAAATTATAGAGCAATTGTAAACACAAGATGGAGACTAAAGACATTTGTACATACAGAGAATGATATCTCTATTAACTGTCTATTTATGTATTGAACATATAGTACACACTTGAAAACCAACTACTGATGACCATTATGACAGCGCTCATGTGCTGAGTTAATCTTTTCCGTACTATTTTCTCTTTAAAGAACCACTATAGTGCCAGGAAAACATACTCAGCGCCGGGCGGGGAGCTCTCCTCCTCCATAGCAACATCATCGGCTGAATGCCAGTTCATAGCATTTACAATGCTTTCCTATGGACGCTGGCGTCTTCTCACTGTGATTTTCACAGTGAGAAGCACGCAAGCGCCTCTAGCGGCTGTCAAGAGACAGCCACTGGAGGCTGGATTAACCATATTATAAACATAGCAGTTTCTCTGAAACTGCTGTGTTAAAAAAAAAAGGGTTAATCCTAGATGGACCTGGCACCCAGACCACTTCATTAAGCTGAAGTGGTCTGGGTGCCTATAGTGGTCCTTTAATTTTAGCCTTTGTTTTTATTTTTCAATACTATGCTAATTCTTAATAACGTATTGTTAATTATTATTCTTTGGTGATATTTTATTCTGCAACATACTCACCTACGTGAGTGATACTAAGTATCTTACCTATGTAACCTCAGGTACAGGCAAAAGCACAAATGGGCATTGCTATAAAACGCTACTCACATTTGACATTTGTATGATATGTCGCAACCTCAATGCTCACTGACGACCAATTTAATGCCTTGAATTTATTTGTCTCAAACATTATCAAAAATTGTACCAATGTATACAACTGTATGTTTATTTTTGAAAAACAATAAAAAAGAGAAAAAACATGAAAAATATGCTTGGACATTTTCTGAAACTCTAGAACGCAGTCTCAAACTCTAACTCATAACCTCTAACTCTAGAACATTACCTCTAATTATAGAACACTTAACACTATGTGAAACACTAGAACACATAACATTGCCTCTAATTCTAGAACAAACTTAGAAGCTGAACAATGAACATTGTCTATAAAGGGATATATATCCCAAGATGGGAGAGTGGCTTTGGCTGATTCCTTGTGGGACATCTGAGATCGCTATCCAGAAGACTGCAGTGATGGTGGTTGTGGCAATACCCAATGACTATAACATCAGGAAGAAGGAACATGAGAAGATGGACAAATACCAAGGATTGAAAGCTAGAAAGGGTGTGGAAAGGGAAGGCAGTAGTAGTCCCATTTGTGATAGGAGCACACAGGGCTGTGACACCTCGTTTGGAGGAGTGGCTTCAACAGATTCCAGGTGGGACATCACTTGTAGAGGGGCTGAGAATAAGAAATATACAAAAGACCTCCCAGAGGGGTGAGAAAGTTGATATATATATCTATATAGTAAGGGAAAAAACGTGTTTGATCCCCTGCTGATTTTGAACGTATGCCCCCTGACAAAGAAATGATCAGTCTATAATTTTAATGGTAGGTGTATTTTAACAGTGAGAGGCAGAACAACAACCTACCCCCCCACCCAGAAAAACTCATGTCAAAAAAGTTACAAATTAATTTGCATGTCAATGAGTGAAATAAATATTTAACGCCTTTTGACTTAGTACTTAGTACCCCTCTTGACAATCACAGAGGTCAGACGTTTATTGTAGTTGGCCACCAGGTTTGCACACATCTCAGGAGGGATTTTGTCCCACTCCTCTTTGAAGATCCTCTCCAAGTCATTAAGGTTTTGAGGCTGATGTTTGGAAACTCAAACCCTTAGCTCCCTCCACAGATTTTCTATAGGATTAAGGTCTGGAGACTGGCAAGGCCACTCCAGGACCTTAATGTGCTTCTTCTTGAGCCACTCCTTTGTTGCCTTGGCTGTGTTTTGGGTCATTGTCATGTTGGAATACCCATCCACGACCCATTTTCAATGCTTTGGCTGAGGGAAGGAGGTTCTCACCCAAGATTTGATGGTACATGGCCCCGTCCATGGTCCCTTTGATGCGATGCAGTTGTCCTGTTCTCTTAGCAGAAAAATGCCCCCAAAGCATGTTTCCACCTCCATGTTTGACGGTTGGGTTGGTGTTCTTAGTGTCATATGCAGCATTCCTCCTCCAAACACGGCGAGTTGAGTTAATGCCAAAGAGCTTGATTTTGGTCTCATCTGACCACAACACTTTCACCAGTTCTCCTCTGAATCATTCAGATGTTCATAGGCAAACTTCAGACTGGCCTGTACATGTGCTATCTTGAGCAAGGGGATCTCAGTCCTTTACGGCGTAGTGTGTTACCAATTGTTTTCTTGGTGACTATGGTCCCAGCTGCTTGAGATCATTAACAAGATCCTCCCGTGTAGTTCTGGGCTGATTACTCACTGTTCTCATGATCATTAAAACTCCACAAAGTGAGATCTTGCATGGAGCACCAGACCAAGGGAGATTGACAGTTATTTTGTGTTTCTTCCATTTGCGAATAATTGCACCAACTGTTGTCATCTTCTCACCAAGCTGCTTGACGAGGCTCTTGTAGCCCATTCCAGCCTTGTGTAGGTCTACAATCTTGTCCCTGACATCCTTGGACAGCTCTTTGGTCTTGGCCATGATGTCGAGTTTGGAATCTGATTGATTGCTTCTGTGGACAGGTGTCCCTTTAAGAGAGTGCTCCTAATCTCAGCTCATTACCTGTATAAAAGACACCTGGGAGCCAGAAATCTTGCTGATTGATTGGGAATCAAATACTTATTTCACTCACTGACATGAAAATCAGTTTATAACTTTTTTGACATGCGTTTTTCTGGATTTTTTTTGTTATTCTGTTTTTCACTGTTAAAATACACCTACCATTAAAATTATAGACTGATCATTTCTTTGTCATTGGAAGATCGCCTATACACCCTAGAGCAATGTCCACCCCTTAAGTTTCTTTTAACTTCCTTTCATTTGTTATTTTGAGTTCAATCGTTGGCTACACCCCCCTGAGGGACTATTACCTGTTTACTACCAGTTTGTAAAGTGAAAGAGGCCCGGGACCTTGTTGATTCAGGAGGGGAGCGGCCCCGATAAGGTGGTCAGGCGTGAGTACCCCACTGGCTACCAGGATACTCTAGAGACTATGGGGAGGGGGAGAGGGTGATACAGACAGTGTACACACGGTATGCACAACCAGAGAAGAAGGATTCACACTACGATACATCTGTTTTGGGCCACAACAGAGTTTTGCCTAGGGAGACATAGCATGATAAACAGACCTGCCTCCTCCCCTCCTCTTCTCCCCCCCCTTTTTTCCTCTCCCCCTTCCCTCCTTCTCCCCCCCTTCCCCTCCTTCTCCCCACCCCTTTTCCCCCTACCTCCCCCCTTCCCCTACCTCCCCCAACAAGGCGCTAGAGGGGGAGGTTTATAGAGAAAGGAAAAAGGGAAAAATAAATAAATAAAAAGGGGGGAAAAAACAACCAAACATATCATGATTCATAGCAAAACCCTGCAGCAGATATTACCCGATATATATTGTCACTGGGTGCACAAGTTACAAAACGTCTATATGTGTACATCGCTTATGTGTGTACATACTCTCCCCTAGTCAGCACGACCAAGTTCCCTTTTAGAAAGCATAGGGACGGCTCGAAGGCCTGTTCCCAAAGAAATTACAACACATTTTTTATTTTATTTTTATCCCCCCCCAAACAAAAAGGGTAGGAAAAAAGGAGAATAAAAAAATTAAAAAAAATTATTTGGGGGTTTTTTAAAAAAGAGAAAAAAAGAAAAAAGGAAAAAAAAAGAAAAAAGAATAACAATAATAAATAAAAACAAAGAAAGAGAAATTTCACGTAGACCTGCTATGCTAAGGTACTACACCAGATGTAACATTTTCTGAACAACGTTCTCTAAGTTATGTTATATATTGTAAGTTGCCTTTGACAGGGGGACAATGGACGAGGGGGGTGGCCACCTGGAGAGCGACGTGTGAACTGTATAATGTGTCTGTATTCATTACTCTTCCCAACCAAAAGGATTACGTAGCCTGGGGTCCTGAAGCTAAAGTGAAGACATAGCCAACAAGAGGAGATAGATGTAAAGGGGTACATTTAGCTATACAAGGAGGGAGCCTCAGAGACGAACTGATACCTACCCCTTACAGGCTACCTCCCCTACACATTGATGCTTGGCACTCCAATTATAAACCAGGAACCGATCTGAGATGCCGCACAATGACAGACACATGAACCAGGTAACAGCATAAGACATCAAAGCTAGCACATAGTGACAGTGGACTCTCTAGATAGGGACTTTACTTAGTTTGCATAACCTCTAAAGGCTTCCACGACCTGTGTCTGTGCGGCGAGCTTTTGGGATCCGGGAGTGTTGGTGGAGCGGGGGGCAGGTGAGCGCTGGGAGGCCCCCAGCAAATTATCCCAGATCACGAATGCTACCCATTTTTTCCTTAAAAGTTGAGGCGAGGAGATGACGACCGGTAACACAACAGATAGGGAGATACAGGTGGTTGCGGGGGGGAGGGGAGCGGAGCCCCCCACAGGCTATTAAGGAACGTATAGGGCAGGAATACAAAACATGGAGCCCTCTGAGGTCATTGACATAATAGAGAGAGGAAGAGAAAGAAGGGACACTCGGGGAGGGATGCCCTAACGCAATCAGTAGAACCCAAAGGTCACATCTTGCTAGGAATGGCACGTAGGCGAAGGGGCTCAGGGATCCTCTGTTCCTCCCAGCGTTGATCATGGTAGGGATGTGGGAACATGCTACCCACAAAACTCTGGCTACTGGTAAGACCAGAGTATTTTTGCATCGGACAGAGTCTAGATGCTACTGCTTTTCTTTTCTTTCTTGTTCTTCTATCTCTCTTTCCCTCTTTTTCTTTTATCCTTCTTTGAGGGGTAGGGAGGGTGGGTCTTGGGAGCGGTGCGGGGGAACTTCCCGGGTTTCACACTGGACGATGCACCGAAACGCAGCGGGTTCAGTTTATACGGTAGTGACAAATGGGACATACAATGGAGATTAAGATCACCACATTAAACGTCAAGGGCCTTAACACCCCTAAGAAGTGCCGCCTCATGTTCAAAGAATTGAAGAGGATGAAATCGGACATAGCATACATCCAGGAGACCCATCTGCCTAAACAAGCCACATTTAGATTAAGAGACCATGCCTATGCGGGATCATACGAAGTCAGATCTCATCGTAAACGCAATGGGGTGGCTATTCTCATAAGAAGAACTTGCCCCTTCCAGATGACAACGCAGGAGGCAGATCAGGGGCCGCTATGTCATCATCGCCAGCTCTTTATACTCACACATCATTCATCTGATAAATATTTATGCACCGAACCAACCAGATCCCAGCTTTTATTTATTTTATTTATTTATTTATAAAATATTTTACCAGGAAAGATACATTGAGATTTCTCTCGTTTTCAAGTATGTCCTGGGTCCACAAATCATTGCATTGTTACATTAGGTACAACAAAAACAATATTAATACACAATATATACAAAATTTAACATAGAACAGGCAGGAAATATATAATCAACCATGACACGTGCATTCTGTTTTGAGGTATGTAGAGAGGGATCTCTTAAATTACTTTAGGCTTAGGGAAGATTTTAAATTGTGCGGGAGGTCGTTCCACAATTGCGGCGCTCTGTAGGAGAAGGAGGATCGGGCCGCTTTCTTTTTGTATTGAGGTAGACTAAGTAAAGTGCTTGTACTGGATTGGAGCTTATAGAAAGTGGGAACAGCTAGGGAGAGCATTTTGTTCAGGTAGGGTGGGAGTTTCCCAGAAAAGCTCTTAAAAACAA